AATTGTTGCCTTGTTATTTTTTTCTATTATGAATTTTTTACCAATCAAACTAAATACAAAATATATATATATATATAAAAAAAATACAGAAAACTGCTCTGAGTGTGATGTCATAGTGGTGCAATGACATCATACTATAACAGGACTGAGACGGGAGCTTTGAGACAGAAGGGGCGTAGTAAATCTAGATCTAAAGGTAAAGGTAAGGGTCAAATTAAAGGTGCACTTTATTTAGGGCAATTCAATCCCCTGCATTTGACCCATCCTGATGCCGCGAAGGCTTACGTCAGGAGCAGTGGTCGCCGTAGTAACAGCGCCAGGGAACCCATCTCCAGATGTTGATGCTCGGCTTGGTCAGGACCAGAGCTGGAGGATTTAACCTAGTGAGCAAGTTTTTATCGGCAGGGGAAACCGGAGCACCCGGAGGAATCCTACGCAGGCATGGGGAGAACATGCAAACTCCACTCAGAAAGACCCTGTTCTGTCCGGGATTCGAACCTAGGAAGATCTTGAAACAACTCAGGTCTGTTTTTGATGAGGAACAATGTTGTAACATGGCTAAAGGCTCTAAAAAGTCTATTTGTCGTCTTTAGAGTTAAAAGAGCTTATTTTTCAGCACAAAAGGAAAGAGATCGGATTTTTTCGCCGAAATCGCATGAATATAATTGGGAGCTTTAGCCACAGATGATTTTTTTAGGAACATTATCAGCTATTTTTACTTTCACACAAATCCCTATACAGCAAACAGTCTGTATGGATCGGCTCTGACTGCTCTGAACTCATGACATCATCACATTCTTCAAAGACAACGCAGCCGTTTCTGTTTGTCTCTGAGAACTCACACTGCCGCTGATTAACAGTCTATTGATCTCACGACAAACACAGCTCCGCCGATCGAGTCACCGAGACGTGCCCTTTCCCAAGCCCAGCATCCGCGCCCCAGCATGCAAATACTAACCCTGCTCAGACCTCATGCTGCAATATATGCAAATAACTGAGCTTGAGATTCAACTGTTTTTATGATTAAAGAACAAATCACAGGTCTGTCAACAAGATTTACGTGTCCATATTCTCATCTCCTGTCATTATTCTGCCTATAGCTGATCAAACTGGCCATAATGCACTGGAATTCTGTCTCACTATTGATAGAGCCCATTAGGATGTCCACCAACCGCTTCATTTTGATTCATCTGCGTCGAGTTGAAATAAAGAAAATAGTTGGCGTTCTTGTCAAAATAATTGCCAATTTGCCAGATTAATAAATTATCTAAAATAGTTTAATTATTTAGTTATTATTAACACTGTGTGAGTTGTATGGTCCTTTTGTTTTAATTATTTTATTTTATTTATTTTTTATTATTTTATTTTACTATATTTTTATTTTATTTATATTTATTGTATTCATTTATTTTTATTTACATTTGTTTTATTGTTATTTTTATATTCATACACATATGCACACACTGTTTTTCCTATTTGATTTTTTATGATTTTACTGTTTTACTATGGATTTGTTTTAATTAATATTTTATTGTGCAGCCCTTTGGAAAGGGCTGCTATAGAAATAAAGTGGATTGGATAATTGTTAGTTGCAGTCAATTTATGTATTAAATGTATTACTCTTTATGTATTATTCATTGACTCCACACAATGCTTAAGCTCTGGTGCAGCCACAGTGGCCCTGGGGCAGACTTTGACCTACAGAGCTCTTTCTTTGCACTGGGTTTGAGGCGGAAAAACCAGATGGAGTTTGGAAATACATATTATTACACGTCTGTCAGGCCACAAACTGTAGAGAGAATACATAGATAATTATGACATTGTTTCATCACATCTGTTCGATTCATGTAACAGAAGAGCCATCTTAAAAATGTCAAAATACATCTAGAACAGGGGTCTCCAACCAAATACATTTAGTCATAACCAGTGGGGGCAAAAGTGTCCAAAATGACGTGCGCTGACATGCTGCAATACCACCCCGGGCCGATGGGGGTGGACCCGGAATAAGAATTAGCCAATGCTAACATATAGCATCTTCTTACCTCTCGAAAACGTCTTTACAGGAGCCAACAGCTGACGCATGCGCAGATGCGTTTTTCACATTTTCCAGCCCCCGCGGCCATTTTGAATCACTCAATGAAAGCCCAATTTTCGGCCCATTAGTTAGAACGGTGGAGATAGGCGTTAATATATACAGTCTATGGTCATAACATATCTATTATTAAGTACGAATATGAGGGTAATACACTAGTACGGTATATTTTACATGTGTTCTCTCTTGTTATAATTATTACATAGATTTTTATAATGTCTGCCTCTTCTGTTGTACAAAAGTAGCTCTACGATTGAAGAAGGTTGGAGACCCCTGATCTAGAATAACAAGATGATTAAAGTTATTTGAAGGCGGCAGAGCACAGGCCACACAGACAGACCCTGGGAGCTGCTGGGAGTCATGTGAGGACCAGGCAGAGCAGATACGTGGTCAGAGAACCTCCAAAAGCAGCTGCTCTCCGCTGCACGACAAAGCTGGATATTGTTTGAACATATGAGTGTGAATACCCCCCCTCGCTCCCCGGGCCACGTGCAGCGCGCGAGTCCCACTGATCTGATCTCAGCCTCTATATAGCTGTGCTTCCTAAGGTGGGGTCCGGGGTCCATGGAGTGGAGGCTAGAAATGTCAATGTCAACTTTATTTATATTAACACCAACTTGTTATTTTATTTTATTTATTTTATTTATTTTATTTATTTTATTTTATTTATTTAATGTATTTAATGTATTTAATGTATTTAATGTATTTTATTTATTTTATTTTATTTATTTATTTTATTTATTTTATTTATTTTATTTATTTTATTTATTTTATTTATTTTATTTATTTTATTTATTTTATTTATTTTATTTATTTATTTCTATTTTATTTTATTTATTTTATTTTTAGCCCAAAGTGCCTGTGAAGCACTTTGGGCTAAAAATAAATAAAATCAAAAAATAAAATCAAAAAATTATAAAAATTAAAAATTAAAAAATAAATAAAAATAAAATAAATAAAATAAAAATAAAGGCTCAATTTCTTGTTGTCCACAATTGAGATGCACTGCACACACTATTTCTTGTTGAGGATTATAGAATTATATAATTACAGCACCACCACATCTGAAACCGGTTCTAAAACAATAGTTGTAGTGTTTGATTAGTCCAAAGAAAGACCTTCATATGAGCTAAAAACACAACGCAATAATAGACAAATGGAAGATTATACAACTTTTACCACACATATTTCAGTCACACAAACAGAAAAATGAATAATTAAAAGATAAAAAGTAAAAAGTACTTCCTAGTATGTACTGACAAATATATACTTATACTTGATTCTGTCCAGGCCAAACGTGACATGTACATTTCTCCAATATATAATAAAATATCAATCAATCTGTTAGAGACCGCGGGGACGAACAGCACATTTACACGGTGGAGTAATAGGCTAATAGACTTCTTTAATGTAGTGTTTGCATGTTCTCCCCGTGTCTGCGTAGGTTTCCTCCGGGTGCTCCGGTTTAAAAACATGCACAATAGGTCTGAATGTAAATGAGAGAGTGAATGGATGGTGTTGGAGCTGATGGTCCAGTGTGTTCGGCGACTCGGTTCTGTCATCACCGTGTGTGGAAGGATTGGAACAATATCTGACTCTGAACATTGTAAAGTGCTTTGGGTGACCTTGGTCTGTAAAATGCGCTAAATTTATGTATTTATTTATTCAGACGGTGATAGAACAATTAAAGTAATAGCAACTTAATAAAAGAAAAATGAAGATATGAAGTACATAGAACAGACAACCAACATTTACTGAAAGATCTCGTCTGCCGAGAAGGAGGCAACTAAGTTCGTCTGGAGTGGGGGAAGTAAACACTTATATAATCCCACCCCTTTCTTCTGTACTTCAATTTCATAACTTAATAGACTTCTTCTTAATAGACATTTTGGCTCTGGATACAAGTTACAATACACAATGAATCTGGATCAAACACACACACGGTTCCTCATCCATATTCTTCGGTTACACACTGAGAGAACATTGTTTCTTTTAATTGATACTTGAACTGTTTTATATTCGAACATCGTTTGAGGACTTCTGGGACTTCTGGGACTTCTGGGATATCTCAGGCCCACAAACAGAGATACAGAAGCTTTTCCTGGTCGTCCTAGCGTGGGCGATTTTAAAGTGATATAAGCCTCTTAAATTGTGTTTTCTTTGTCTTGCACTGAAGAAACGTAAAACATTTTCAGGCAATTGCTTATTTTAATATTTTGCTATACAAATAAACATTACTTACTTAATTTTGAAACAATCATTTGATAAAAAAAAAAAGACAAGAAGGCAACAGTTTCATCCAACTACCCAGTGTAAATCCAAAATAGCCTCGGCCGCGACGTTCACTTCAACAGTTGAGTTCTGGAGCCTCCTCTCAGCCCAGAGCGCTCCCTCCCATCGCACCAGAACCAGAGCCAGAGCCAAAAAGGGTTTTCGGCAGCAGCCAAAAAACCGTCTTGTGACAGAGGATTGTTCACATGCGGGAGAGGATAGATGAGGCGTGGAATTGGAACAGGCAACAGTAACTATGGCTGAAAGATTAAGAGAATTCAAGATTTCCCTTTTAAACCAAGAGAGTTCTGATTTATAACATGTTTTTTTTTCATATTGTGCGTTTTTTCACTCTGTGTTTTTTGGAACCTATATTTAAATTGTATTGAGAAAAACTGGTAGTAATATAGAGATTGAAATAGATAGAGAATATGCAGTATAGAGAGAGAGATTTGGTTCATTTTTGTTCCCAGTAAAACTTCATCTTTGGCGCACACATAACCAAAACCAGCAAACGGGCCATGCTCAAAAACGCATTTAAAATCCGATCCAATAATGTTTCAGCTAATCTCAGATCCAACAGCAGAAGAACGCCGATTGACCAGTGGGCGGCCGTCATTGAAATAATAATAATGAACTAGTAACCTTTCTGGCGATGGAGCACACTCACCAGCTCGTCCAGGTTCCTCATGTCACACAGCACTCTCTTCTGGGGCCAGATGAAGGTCTCAGGCTGGATCTGCTCCTCTGGACTCCGGCTGTTCTCCTGGATCACAGACCTGCTGTCCTCCACCTGCTCTCTGCTCTCCTCCTCCTCCACCACCACCACCACCACCTCCTGCTGCTGCTGCTGCTCCTCTGCTGCTGCTGCTGCTGCTGCTGCTGCTGCTGCTGCTGCTGCTGCTGCCTTCATCCGCCGGCACTCCTCCTGCTGCAAGGCCTGTTTCCAGAAGCAGAAGTGTGTCATGTATTTGATAGGGCTGGTCCACACTACGATATTTATAGCAATTGGTTAATTTGCAATGTTCGTTCCTGGAAGAGCTTCGATAAACACATTCAGGTGTTTATGTTTGCAGCTGCTTTGGGCCCCCAATCAATTTCCCTTCATGGCCACCAAGATCACCAGCCTCAGATCGACTGGATTTGATCCCAACAGGAAAATTACACAAATCAGCTTGTCAAATTCTAAATGTGAATGTAAAAAATGATCAAAGAGGCTACTTAACAGGAAGAAAGCTTTTGAGGGTCCCAAAATTAACTTGGATCAACCGGAGTTATACAGTGCCTTGCGAAAATATTCGGCCCCCTTGAACCTTTCAACATTTCGCCACATTTCAGGCTTCAAACATAAAGATATAAAAATTACATTTTTTGTCAAGAATCAACAACAAGTGGGACACAATCGTGAAGTGGAACAACATTTATTGGATAATTCAAACTTTTTTAACAAATAAAAAACTGAAAAATGGGGCGTGCAGTATTATTCGGCCCCTTGCGCTAATACTTTGTAGCGCCACCTTTTGCTGCAATTACAGCTGCAAGTCGCTTGGGGTATGTCTCTATCAGTTTTGCACATAGAGAGACTGGAATTCTTTCCCATTCTTCCTTGCAAAACAGCTCGAGCTCAGTGAGGTTGGATGGAGAGCGTTTGTGAACAGCAGTCTTCAGCTCTTTCCACAGATTCTCGATTGGATTCAGGTCTGGACTTTGACTTGGCCATTCTAACACCTGGATACGTCTATTTGTGAACCATTCCATTGTAGATTTGGCTTTATGTTTTGGATCATTGTCCTGTTGGAAGATAAATCTCCGTCCCAGTCTCAGGTCTTTTGCAGACTCCAACAGGTTTTCTTCCAGAATGGTCCTGTATTTGGCTCCATCCATCTTCCCATCAATTTTAGCCATCTTCCCTGTCCCTGCTGAAGAAAAGCAGGCCCAAAGCATGATGCTGCCACCACCATGTTTGACAGTGGGGATGGTGTGTTCAGGGTGATGAGCTGTGTTGCTTTTACGCCAAACATATCGTTTTGCATTGTGGCCAAAAAGTTTGATTTTGGTTTCATCTGACCAGAGCACCTTCTTCCACATGTTTGGTGTGTCTCCCAGGTGGCTTGTGGCCAACTTTAAACCAGACTTTTTATGGATATCTTTGAGAAATGGCTTTCTTCTTGCCACTCTTCCATAAAGGCCAGATTTGTGCAGTGCACGACTGATTGTTGTCCTATGGACAGACTCTCCCACCTCAGCTGTAGTTATCTGCAGTTCATCCAGAGTGATCATGGGCCTCTTGTCTGCATCTCTGATCAGTCTTCTCCTTATTTGAGATGAAAGTTTGGAGGGACGGCCGGGTCTTGGTAGATTTGCAGTGGTCTGATACTCCTTCCATTTCAATATAATTGCTTGCACAGTGCTCCTTGAGATGTTTAAAGCTTGGGAAATCTTTTTGTATCCAAATCCGGCTTTAAACTTCTCCACAACAGTATCTCGGACCTGCCTGGTGTGTTCCTTTGTCTTCATGGTTCTCTCTGCGCTTTAAACAGAACCCTGAGACTATCAAAGAGCAGGTGCATTTATACGGAGACTTGATTACACACAGGAGCATTCTATTTATCATCATCAGTCATTTAGGACAACATTGGATCATTCAAAGATCCTCACTGAACTTCTGGAGTCAGTTTGCTGCACTGAAAGTAAAGGGGCCGAATAATATTTACTATCCAATAAATGTTGTTCCACTTCACGATTGTGTCCCACTTGTTGTTGATTCATGACAAAAAATTCAATTTTTATATCTTTATGTTTGAAGCCTGAAATGTGCGAAATGTTGAAAGGTTCAAGGGGGCCGAATACTTTCGCAAGGCACTGTACTTGTACCTGTAGGGCAGGGGGTGTCAAGGTCCTCAGAGGGTCCATGCGGTTGCAGGTTTTCATTCCAACCAAGCAGGAGCACAGCAGGCTCGTAAGTCCAGTCTGATCCTGAAGATTTGAGTCTGCTGTGCTCCTGCTTGGTTGGAAATAAAACCTATGGGATCTTTGAATGGATAATGTTACTCCCGGCAACAGGAGGCTCTTTGCAGATACATTTTTTGCATTTACACAAAAACAGAAGGTGAAATTCAACCTTAAAGCTGCACTAACTGACTTTATTTTTGTATTCATTACGAAAATGCTATCCATGTCCATGCAGTGCATTGGGATATACGTGCTTTTGAAGAAAAAGTAGCGCAGATTTGTGCTGGCGTGACATTATATTTTAGATCAAGTTTTGATGAAACAAGGAAGAGAATGTGTTTCGGGTCGCAGATTGTGACCAATCACAGCGCACCACTAGCCCCCACTTTCGTGAGAAATCCACAGGTCCCTGTTAGCACAGACAGCTGAGTTAGCACAACAAGCCGAGGAGCTAACCTGAAGCTTTGTGTCTTCGTCAGCGGTTACTGCTTACACAGCGAGACAGCCATCCAAAAGAAAGTCTCGTTCCTCCGCGCTTCCCGGTTCTATCATTCTATGGTCACGCCATCCACGTGCAAATCCATATCCATGGTTTATCCATATTGGGAGACGCTAGCTCCGTCAATAACAGTGGGTGTGTGTGGGGGGCGATAGCTTCGTGGGTGCGGGGAGGGGAGCAGAAAGAGAGAGGCCAGCGAGTCTGCGGCTTCAAAATCCCAAAGTCAGTTAGTGCAGCTTTAAGTCCATCCAAGAAAATACATGAGGCCGATACAGACACAATCGGGTCATCCCTACTGTCACACCAGTGTTTGGTCATATGTAAATGTAATAACCAGTGTGGGCAGGTCCCGGCTCAAAAGTGGCCCAAATGATGTGCGCTGACATGCTGCAATACCACCCCGGGCCGATGAGGGTGGACCCGGAATAAGAATTAGCCAATGCTAACATATAGCATTATATAGCATTAGCTGACCTCTGGAAAACGTCTTTACAGGATGGTCCAAAAGTTGGTTCTTGGCCCAAAGCTCCGTTCCACATGTGTGTCAATGCTGAGGGGAGTGTTCTGGACCAGTCTAGTTTAGTCGCTGTGAATTTATGAAGTCACTCGTTTAAATGAATGGGGCTCGTGCAGATGCGTTTTTTTCACATTTTCCAGCCCCCGCGGCCATTTTGAATCACTCAATGAAAGCCCAATTTTTGGCCCATTAGTTAGAACGGCGGAGATAGGCCTGACTACGTCTGTTAAATACAGTCTATGTTAATAATATAACGACAAAATGGACAAACGTAGACATAACATTCAAGTGATCAGGTCTTGCCGACTTCAGTTTCTGTTTTTTACACAATAATAACATCTTTGGATTTGATATAACGTAAAATTGTGTCGATTCGTCAGCACAGATTAGAGAATCAAACACCATTGTGGAACAACTGACCCCAACCACATTGATAACCTGGTAAGGATTAGCCCTGGATACAATCATAACAAGCAGATAAATGATGTACATTCATCCCAAACTGCCTGACAATAATATCTCTAGAAAATAAAAAGAAATATATGACTGACCACTATAAAAGTGAGAATGTTGGCCTTACTGCGTTCACAGTTTTATTCCTGTGAATGTAGAGCCACTGATAATGAAAGTAAACTACAGTACAGAGAGATTTATTAGATTAAAAAATATGTTTAAGAATATGGCTTTTGACCTCGAGAGACAGTAACCGGCTCGACAGGCTAATCAAGAAGTGTGTCTCTGTGATGGGGAGAACTCTGTGAGACCTGTGCTGGAGAGAAGAGGCTCTAATGCAGGGCATCCTGGGTAACTCCAGACACCCTCTGCATGACACTATGGCCGCTCAGAGGAGTCATCGAAGCAACAGGCTCCTATCACTACGCTGCCGAACGGAACGTTTCAAAAGATCCTTTGTTCCTTCGGCTGTCAGACTGTACAACAAACCTGACTGACTGTACTACAACAACAAGAAAAGAGTCTTCTGCTGCTGGACACCTGAATTTCTCCTATGGGGGATCAATAAAGTTTTATCTATCTATCTAATAAAAATACAAAATAAACAACAAACACATTTTGGTAAATAGGGTTCCTGAACAATCAGAACATTTTTCAAAAACAAGCAGTGGAAAAGTACTGCCTCGTGCACATGTTAGAATGAGGAGTTAGAACTTTAACCACAGTTGCTTCAAAGTGTCATGAAATACCTACAATTGTCCTTTATAATGCATTCCCCCTTTTCATCTGTCTGAAGGAAGCTCTGAACAAACTCTGTAAGAACTGATACTGCAACAAAAGGCCCCAACTTACGGCCATTTGTCCGTCTGAACCGGCCTCCAGTCCGACCCCTGTATTACCACTGACAATAGTCTTAAGTGTTGTAATGACGGTCATACCTGTTGGTCCCGGATCTCCTCCTCGATCTCCTCCTCCAGCTGGATCAACATCGGCGCCAGCATCCCGAACTTGGCCCCGCGGCGTGCCACCTCCAGCAGGCACAGCACAAAGTTCTTCTCGTTGCACCGCTCCACCAGGTCGTTGGTCTCGAACATCAGCACGTCCTTCACCCGCAGCTCGCTCCTGCACCAGCCGATGAAGTTGCTCACGTTGTCCCTGGCCAGGAAGGAACCGGGGATCACGTTTCGCGATTGGAAGGCCACGTCTTTGGCGGGCAGCGTCATGATGCGGGCAGCCTCCGGATACTCCAGCCGGAAGTCGTGTGCTGCCCGGTTCACATTGTTGGCATGGCGACAGAGAGCACAGCCGGTCTCCAGGCCCTCGGCGAAGGCGTCCGCGGTCAGGTCCAGCTCGTACAGCGTGTTGAGCCACTCGGCGAGGTCCTCCTTCATGGCGTACAGGTATTCCTCGCTGGACTTGAACGGACGGATGCTCTTGGAGGCAGACGACTGGATGTTGGTCTGATCGGCCATGTTGTTTTGATAAAGTAGACCGCTGGAGTCTACAGTGACCAGTTGGGAGTCCTGTGTCCCATGTCCCAGCAATCGCATATGAAATCACTGTATCAAGTTATCTAGACGATAGCAAGATGTATCATAATGCAATACCTTTTTTATTGGAAAATCCTAAAAACTGACAATATTGAACTGACATATTCAAATGATAAAGTCTCAGTGTCAAAATCTGGCAAACTTTGTGAAGACTTCAAAAAGCATTTTAGAAAACATTATGGATTATTGCATCGGTGAATGCAGTCCATGCTTCAGTCTTCACCCACAACTTATCATGTTCACTTTTTTACGCAATCTCAATCTCAAAATATAGAGCGTGAATCAAATAGTAATAGCAATGGTTGTCTGAAAAAACTAGATATTTTTTCAGGGACTAGAGTTGTCAAAGAGAATCAACAGACAGACGCTTATGAAACTAACAAAATCATCATGTGACTTTTATAACACACTTTGTGGAAACCTTTCAAAGTGCCAGTGTGTTGTGCACTGTACTAACCACAACATGATCCAGTCCTTAGTGTCACAATCCAGTTTAGACTTATAGAATTGTGACAACACTACCCTGGACAGTTCCAGCTTCCAGCCCTGCGTCTAATGTCCTGCAGATCTATTCAAAACTGTTGATTTGGTCCCAGCTTTATGCAAGACATGCCCTAATCTTGCCCATTTCTGATCAATTAGATAATCACCAACAGTAGAAAAGTGAATATTTTAGGGTTGTGCAATTAATCAGAATTGAACAGAGATTTCAATGATGGCTTTTTTTAATTATCAAAAGTGGGGCAGTAAAATGATTGCTCCTTCGCCACAATCACAAATCATTACACAAATACTAGATGTACACTTTCAATGAATCTTTGCATTGGCGTTTGTAAAAGTCATGGCTTGAATTTTCACTGATGAAGCAAATCATACGTGTTGCCTAAATTGTGAACAATGCTTCTAAATGATCAGAAGTCTTTCCAATCTGGACTCTGGCGTGAGCTGAGTACAGAGCTGTAAAAGAGCCATGGATCATGCGCTCTTCTCCTGATTGTATTATTACCCTTTTATAACATCTGGAGTGCGTCCCGGCCCGTTTTAATCGTAAGAAACCTGGTCACCCGCAGCGACAAGGACACAACGGTGAAAACGCAGCCATGCCTGGGGTTTTCCTACCGCATAGACGCCTTGTAATGTCTCTCTTCACAGCCATACAGGCCGATGCTTCTCGCTCCACCTTTCCCTGATGCCACATTAATTCTACGAAGCGAAATCTACATAGAAAACCAGTTAATCTTTCCTCTCAAAGAAATATACACTTCTTTGGGTGTAATGGCTTTATAGGCTGGCACGCTTTCATTCCAGTCTGTGTCTGCGCGTCATGATGTTTAGAAATGCAATATGGTTCAGAGGGGTATGGAGTTATTAGCCGGGTTATGAGCTTAAATGGGCCGTGTCCAGGATCCCCCCCATGTCCAACCTTCACTCAACACCCGAGAGCCGCGGTCTTGTCGCTGGTGATGCGTCTGGGAGCATGGATGCTTGTTCCGGTTGCGAGCCCTTTTTGCGCACGCATCGTTGGGAGTCTGGAGGAAATAAAAAGAATATTACTCCACGGTGTAGAGCTCCGTGGGCTGCAAAAAGAGTATAATCCACGCGTAAAGGCAGTCTCCGTGTGTCATTGTCGCGTCTGGGAGCAGCTCAGCCCATGCCGACGCCTCGACCTCTTCTCGTTGCGCGCAGAATGTGAGCGAGAGCGACCTGCTGCTGCGCTTCAAGAGACGAGAAACACATCCCATTACCGAGGATCGACTTAACCCTGTGCGCTCCGGGCTGCGAGGTGGGCTGGGCCGCTCCGAACACGCCCCACAGCGGGCGGAGACAAGCGGCAGGGAGGGGCTGGCGCAGGGCATGTGAAGGAATGTCCGCCGACCAACACATTACAATCAGTGGCGGAGCCAGACTTTTAAACAGAGGGTGGCCAGGGGGTGGCAAGGGTTTTTTTGAGGGGTCCACCACCTTTATACTATTCCGAAATTTTATTTTGCACAAAAACTGGCTAAACTATACATTTTAATCTTAATCTTGTCATTATTTTTAATATAAAGTGAACTGAGAGCACACTTGGAACACAAAGCAAAAAAGTGTATTTAAATAGTAGTCTGAACAAAAAAGTGCAAAATAACATCATTCAAACATTGCATTACATTTTTCTTTTAACAAATTTAGCAAATTCCTACGGTTCTGGTGTAAAGCAGCAAAGATGTTGACAAACTCATCCATATTCAGCCCTGAGCCTTCCTTTACCCTACACTGAGGATACCAAGATGACTCAATCATCTGCCATGGTAGTTATGAGATGGTTTTTAATAAGTTTTAGGACAGAGAAACTTATTTCACAAGACGCAGTACTGAAAGGTATTAAAAAGATCTTTGCAAGCCTCAAAAGCTCATGAAACACTTTCCAAACGTTCCAAAAGGACAAGGAAGTCCAATAGGGACTCTCTAATCCATTTTTTCCTCCCAAGAAGCCGCCTAGTTTGACGTACTTCATGCTTAAGGACCTCTATATCTGACTCAAAGGTTCTGCCAAATGAAAACAGGGGCTCTTCTTTCAAAAATATTTTTGGGGTCAAGCGACTGCACATCATCCATAATCTTAGCTATTTTGTTTCTTTTTTTGTGTGTGAAAAAACGCCTTCTGCCAATAGACAATCCTGCACCTGTCTGCGACACCCTCTCATTCTCTGAAACTCAATTATATAAACTATATTTTAATACAACACAACAAATTCCTCATCATCTCAAAACATACTGCCTCCGAGTCTGACCTTCAGGCTGATCTACAGCCTTTTCCTAACAAAAAAAGGCCTGTAGGCAATGTTTCCTCCTTTTCTTTTAATGTTTACACTAAAGGGAAGAGGGCGATGATACGATGGGCAATTAATAATGGAAAATAAACACGCATGCACCCCGCACGCACACAGGCACGCACACACACACAGGCACAAACACACGCGCACAGGCACGCAGACCCACACTGGCACACACAGGCACGCACACACACGCAGACACAATGGCACGCTGACACACGCACACAGGCGCGCATACAGGCACGCACACAGGCACGCACACAGGCACGCACACAGGCACGCACACACACATACACACACTAAAAGTTCTACAAACTGAACAAGTAATGCGCTGCAGTACGTGTGTCTATACTTTGTGTCAAATGTAAACGGCTCTGCATCGCTAACTTACCTCTTTGTTTTCATCACGACTTGGGCACATTTGAGTCCAACAACCCAAAACATTATCATACAGCACCGGCTCCACACGGAGTCAGGGTGCGTTCACAGACGGGGGAAACCGTGGGAATTTTTAGCTTTTGCCGGAAAAAGTGCGGAAGATTCTCAAGATTAACATTATTACATTGCCGTCTTCCGAGGGGGGCACTGGGGGTGGCAAGGATATTTTTAGAGGTGGCAGTGGCCACCCTGGCTACCCCTCTGGCTCCGCCACTGATTACAATGCATGGAGATCTTTTGTCTGTCTTTATTTGCATTAACAAAAAGTACACATCCCAAGACGAATTTTTAACTATCCATCCATCCATTTTCTACCCCTTATTTTAACTATATTGAAATAAAATGGAGGAAAGAGACCCAAACCATTCATTTAACGCAAACCCAAACCAGGAGAGTTTGATATGACCTATTCAATTTGATCCATAAACAAGTTCATAGATAGACCTTTATTGTCACAGACATAGAACACAGAAGGAGGGTGGCATCAGAATAAACACATGTTCTGCGGCCTGGAGGCAGTGAGTGAAGTGGTTGTGGAGAGGATGGTCCGAGTCTAACTGTTTGTGTTGTGTTGCATTATATTAGTCTAAAAACGCCACTTTTTCATTTTGTATTCAGAAAAAAATAATAGGCTACGATAAGGTTGCTAGATCCCAAACCAGGCCTGGGGATGATACAAAGAACTAGTATACCTTAACCCAAGATGCTATAAGTCTGCATGGTCAAATACCAAAATGGATTCCTTTCATCATTTGTTTTGGACATAGAACATAAGAAAACTTTAGAATACATCACAACAATGGAGTAATATTCCACAGAAGTGTAGTCTTGATTTGAAAGGGACAACGCAGCAGTCTCTGGTTAAAGTCTGGGAGCCGATAGAAATAAGGACATCACTGATCGAGGATAAGTATTTTTCCATAACATTGAACCCTACAAAACGTATTGTCCTGTGGGTTAAAAGGTACCCCTGTGTTGCTTGTGCTCATGGCAGATTAGAGTGGTACACTCAAGTATTGCTCTGTTTTATTAAGGATCCGTATCTTATGAAGCATTTAGGAGTCTGTTCAGAACTTCTTAACCTCTCCATAGAGAACCAAGAGGTGAGTATTAACTGAAGGCTGCTCAATGTACAAGGTGATTCTGATCTGCGTTGGTGAATCGACTGCTTTGCCAAGTCCCTCAGCGATAACTACTGTTTAGATTTAGGGCTTTAAGTCCAGCCCAAATGTTTGGTTTACAAAAACCTTCAAAAAAGGGACCAAAAAAGTGAAAAGTACAAACTTTGTCAGTAAAATTTTATTTCCCAAACTCTTCATACAAGTAAGCAATTCTTGGGAAAGGGCAAGGGCTTATAATGAAAAATATTGCATTTGACGGTATTAAAAAATAAAAGACAACACATGCAGAGAACACATTTGAATCGAAGCACATACTGTACACAGGCAAACTAAAAAAAAGAAAACTTTGTGAATGAAACCTCACAGGATACTTTATCCAGAGACATGGAATCATAAATAAAGTGGGGTCTTAAAAACGGCATTCCTTAAGAGGAACACATACTTCAGTAGGGGCGCTCCCTGCGCTCCTGACGGTGCTCCCTGAAAGACAAAAAACTCATTATATTCTCACAACTACACATTAAAACAAGGCAATATTCCTCCTCAAGGGTCCTCACCTAATGTCCATCTTTCCTCCAGGAGGGCCCATCCCTCTGCCACGGCCTCCCATCCTGTCCATGGGTGGACCCCCACGTCCCCTGAAGCCTCCCCGGTCCATGCCTCTTCCCCTGAAACCCCCACGGTCACCTCCCCAACCTCCACGGAAGCCAGGTCCTCCTGGTCCACCTCCAGCTGGGCCTCCACGATCCATGCCCCTGCCACCACGCATGCCCATGCCGCCCCTGCCTCGGTCACCACCAGGGGGGAAGGGAGGACCTCCACCCATGCCATCAGGTTTAGGGGCTTTGCACTGGTTACACTCCATGCGCCAGGCAAAGTTCTGGTTTCCACAACCTCTGCAAGAAAACAGACAAGACAGTTCGCTTGAGCCATTTTTCAATGACATGACAACATCTCATGGAAAGTCAGTAAGAATATACATTTAAATATCTTAGATCCTATGGTTATTACACAAATGTATAAATGAGAAATGCACAATGGCAGACGTACGGGTTCGGACACTCCCAGTCTCCAGCTCTTTGTTGCAAGTTTCCTCCAGAAGGTCCACCTCGGCCCATTCCACGGGGTGCTCCTCGTGGGCCGAACCCACCACGATCTCCTCCCCGACCCATCATACCTGCAGAAGACAGGCTCCGTTAGAATAAAATAAGAACCTTGAGTACATGTATGCACCCAAGAGATACAAACCTCTTCCCATCATACCATCACGCATCGGCATTCCCCCCCTCATGCCTCCCATGTTATTTGGCTTACGACGCGCCATGGACACATTCAGCCTCCTGCCCTGGAACTCTTTGCCTGTAGGGAATCAAGATCAGATCAGCTCCAGAGAACTAAAACCTCTTCAAAATCTATTAACTTACCATCGAAATGCTCCACAGCAGCTTTAGCCATGGCTGGCTCCTCGTACGACAGAGTGGCATCCCCTTTGGGCTTATTAGTATCTCTGTCTTCATATAAATTAATAGCAAGCTTTCCAAGTCGACGGTTCATCTGCAGAAACACGTTTAACATGAGTAAAAGCTCATTTCCTCAACTTAACAGCGATTTACCCTGATGGGGCCGACGTGTTTGAAGAACTCAGCCATCTCTTCCACAGTGGCACTCTCAGTCAGTCCTTTGATGTAGATCGTGTTGTTCTCAGAGTCGTCTTGCTCCTCAGGACGTCCTGCAAACACGGGGCAATCAATATTCAAGCTTCTCCACACTTTTAGAAGGCAAGCTTGGACTACACTTACCGGCATCGCGCTCCTCATCGCCACCCATGGGTCCTGTGTATTCACAGGAAAAGAACAAATGAGAAAGTTAGCGATTGACATTGTCTTGTTTTTTTATACCTGAGGACCAAGTACACACATTAGGCACTTTTAATCGATCTCAGCCATATTGGATTGGTAAGTTATGGTACACAGTCATTACCATCAATGTCTTAATTATGATACCTCATTTGAAAGTGGGTCAATCTAAAATGTGTAAACTCAAACCCAAATACAAGTTGATGGGATTTGCATAAAAATACACCATTCCCAGAACAAATAGTTAAAACCCGTCAGACTCTTGAACATAAGGCTGGTACCAGATAGTGAGTGAATGGGACTGAACCACGAACTCCCAATATTTAGTCAAACCAGCGAATACTCATTTTTTGTCACAAAAGTTTAAAGTTTTGAATGGACTAACCAGTGTAACTCGTCAACTTACCACCAGGCTTACTGAAGCCACCTCTGTCTCCAGCGCTGTTAGGGGAATAAAGGCAGATATGAAGGCGATTTCTCTTTTACAGCCACTTCCATGGCTCGAGCAAGTGGCTTGATTGAGGGGTTAATGCAGACATGTGGAATATTTTAACACAACAACTTCCCAAAGTAACTGGGGGAATCTTCTCGTCTACAGTCATTGGTTGGTTAAAAAAAACATTTAAAAAGCCTACAGTAACAAGAAAGTAAACAGGGTTCAGATGCATTCTACCCAGAAGTGTAAACTAAACAGATTTTTACAGAACAATTGAAAAGAATTTACAGAAATGTGTCAAAATAAAACTCCGCTTTACATTCCAGAAAATAAACAAACAGTTCACCGAGTAATAAAATTAACATGATACCATTGAGCAGTTGGGATTCATACACCCATTATATTATATATTTGTATCAATGAAAAAGGAAAAGAAAAATCCAGAGTTCTTGAAAAAAAGCAGCCCAGAATCTTTGCTCTACTCCCTCCTTCTGCACTGAGTACAGATCGTGTTTAGAGAATAGATGCTTTTAAATGGCTGTTACCTGTGCGGTATAAATGTGACAAAAGCATGTTAAATTGTATTTCAAAACACCAACAAATGAAAACATTCTGACCCCTCCCCACATCCCACACAACAGACCTGTGCCATTACTGACTAAGCTGATGCACTAGAGCTACACACCAGGAAGTCATGTGAACAAAGTCTTGCATCTATAAACTGTAAAAGTACCTTCTAAAACTCAGTTCACAGCGATTTGGAAAATGTCTTTTGTGAACTGAGGAGCAGGTCATTTCTTTATTTTACTGCATTTGTTTGTTCACATGATTTACACTTGTGAAGTAGTGATAAGTATACATCCCATATAGACATCCTAGTTTTGTCTGAGTATTGTGTATTTGGTGTGTGAAGTGCTAAGTGTTTTGCCCCTTTAAGTGTAGTTGAACAATGTACAAGTGGGAGTTTAGTCACGGTGCAGAGGGTTGATGACATTTAAGGCAAGTCTATGGTGATGTTCGTGGCAATAGCCCATTACCCAACGATATGAATCCCAACACCATGAAATTATACCAACGCCAAAGTCCCTTAAAACCAGTATTATAGGTTTACTACATACACCTTTACATTATGTGGAACATAATGCAGTGGATTATTACACACCTGCCGATTGAGAAGTCAAACACAAACTAAAGTAACCCGGTGTCAAAAGGTCAATAAATGTAAATCTGCATTCATTTGAAAAAGGTCATGATAAACCTCTGAACGTGTTGCCAAGAAGTCCATGCTGATAATGCAACACGGTAAAACCCTAGTCCATCATACCCTTTAAGACTTGTTTCAGTCATTTTCATGAACAATGTAACGTGGTAAAACATGCCAGAGTTGTTTTAAGCTCTATCCATATTAATGAGGAACTTCAGACACAAAGATGCCCCTTCCCTTAGTCTGGTAGACGCCATGATGAATCGACACCAAGTGTTCAGAGCAGTTTTCTGCTTTTTGAAAATTGTGTTGGCTCCAAATTGAAATTAGAATCACAACCGCATGGCTGTGTTTGCAGCAGGTATCATGTTTATGTCTCCGCACAAGGCAATGCTTGGTGAAAAAGATAAAATATAAGAGTTCCTTTATTCGTCCCACAGTGGGGAAATTGACATAATACAATTCAACACCTCTAGTTGCAAATTAAATGCTGAGGGATTTTTTTAATCAAACTTGTATTGGATATTCATGTATCAACTTCACCTTCACGTTTTTAAGCATGAAATTCCAAGTAAGAGCCTCATGTGTGAGGGCACCATTTCATTGAATCAGTTTTGACTTTATGAAAATGCATTGATTGTCACCACAATGCCCTGGTCAGAAAACCATAGTTGGATTTAGTCCCTTTTCAGTGTTCATCATCAAATGTATCACAAGTTCAATAGTACAATACACATCTGTATTGATACTCGTTTTGCCAATGCGTCTCAATATTTAGACTGGGTACAGCTCTGAGTATATGACCATGTGATGGACGAGGCCTACACACGAGGCCTACACCCTGCCTGCAGCACATTTGTGAAAAAGCAGTCGTCCAAGTTACACGCTGTACCTCCAGTGCCACTATAACGGTTAACAAACACCAAGTAATGACCCGAAAACCATTTAATAAATTAGGGCTGCAGTTTGAGAGGGGAACCGTGCATTTCAGGCCTGTAAATTACCAAGCTACACAAGCAAATAGTTTAAGTCATGTAAATGACCTGAACATACCAAAATTTCACTTGATTTCAGAGTTATACCTTGTACCCCCAATTATATATTTTAAAAAAACTTAAAAACGTGGACCAAAACATTTCCAAAGCTCATGGTACCAAGCCCAATCCAAGAGAAACTTCAGCATTAATGACAGAACTAGTGACCAGAATTTCTCAAACTTGACTTTGTCACCCTCATAAAATACTCCATGACACAAATGGATTTAACTCTAAATTGTAAACGTGCAACTGTTACAAATGTGCAATAGTGAAGGGCTGAATGGACACTCATCGGTCTGTGGTGTAATTTGTGTTGTATAGTCTTGTAAACATACTTGAGAAAATGTGTGAATATCTAACCTTGATGCTTAACCCCCAAAACACTTAACTCATTGTAATTTCTAACAATAAACTTTGTTACCTACTTATAATGCACAGGTTACTTACCTTTGGCCAATAATGGGCAAGACTGACCAAAACACAAATGACTAATCGTCAAGTATTTGGTGCAGTCCTGCCCCTTTGGCCTCAGCACCTAGAAGAAAAGATGGGGTTATGATTCTAGAGCAACACTTACCCCATGCCACGGCCTCCACGCCCTCTGTGCATCATTCCTCCACGGTCAAACCCATCCCTGCCCCTGCCATCACCTCCGGGGTACCTGGACTCTGGGTACCCAGAGCCACCACCCTGCCCATCCTGACGGTAACTGTCTGAGAGAGAGGGACAATAATCAGTGATACTACACCATCCTTGTGCACTTGTGATAAGCAGGCTTACTGTAGTGGTTTCCCTGGCTGTATCCGGGTGGTCCACCCTGTTGGCTGTACTGGCTGGCTGGAGGCTGACCGTATGAGCCTGCACTCTGCTGGGCATACGCTGGAGGAGCCTGTTGCTGTGCTTGCGTTTGCCCGTAGCCTCCTTGCTGTTGCCCATAGCCTGACTGCTGGGCCTGATATCCAGCCTGCTGTTGGCCATATGCTGCAGGTGAGTAACCGGTCTGGCTGTAGCCGGCAGGCTGGCCATTGGCACTGTAACTGCACAATGAGAATTACATTCACGAAAAATGTCAGAGGGCATCTCTACCTATGCAAAAACAGTACCTCTGCTGAGCAGCGGGGGCTGCCTGCTGACCATAGCCCTGGTAAGAGGACTGAGCAGGATACCCAGTCTGAGATCCATAGGATTGAGCAGCAGTAGCAGCTGGAGTAGCAGCAGCACTGTCATATCCACTGGTTCCATAACCCTGGGCAGTCTGAGAGTAGCCATGGGCTGCGGTGGTCTGAGCTGCAGGGTATCCCGCTGTCAACACAATAGAAACCGAGTAAAACAAGAGACAATGACATTTCAAGTGCATACAAAGCATGAGGTTGAAAGTTAAGAGGAATTTCACAGCCTCCCTCAGAAGGAAATAACCCCTCACCAGTCGGATGAATTAAATTGATACCAAAATCTGCACATAGTTTACCGAGTAAGATTCAGAACTCACTTGAAGCAGCTTGTCCATAAGAAGAGCCGTACTGCTGCTGTGGTGTTTGCTGTGGCTGAGCGTAGCCTCCAGCAGCAGCAGGAGTCGCCTGGCTGTAGCTGCCGTCTGCAGCAGCAGTTTGACCATAAGAGCTGTAGCCCTGCTGCCCATAGCCCTGCTGAAACACCACATGATCAAACATACAACTATAACAAAAGTTTCTTTAATCCGTTTAATATAATTGAAGCATTTTTTTTTATAATCATTGCAACTAATAGTGACCGAAGTGTAAACAATCTGTATATGGTTTACTTCAACAAGGAATACAAATAAGTGTTATTTAAGGCAACGCAACTACCGTGGTACTGACCTGAGCAGTTTGTCCATACCCCTGAGAGGCCGGTGCGGTGTAGGACGCATACCTGGAACAGTTAACCCAATTAAACTGTGTCGACAATTTCCAGAATAGTTAACCTTACGACAAGATATGCAAGATTGTCTTACCCCTGCTGGGCACCAGCCTGGCTGTAGGAGCTGTAGTCTGCGGTGGAAAAGAGAAACTGACTTTAGCATGAATAAGAAATCATTAGCAAAAGGAAAAAAAAGACAAGTCAAAACTTTTGCGCGCGAGTGTAGAGCACAGCTAACATGCTAACGCTAACATGCTAACGCTAACATGCTAACGCTAACATGCTAGCAGCACGTTAGCGGGCCGACAACATCAGTTCCCACACACTCGACGCGCGATGAAAAAAGCTACAATTTCACTCAACTCAGACCTTACTCTGAGCCTCAAGAGAGATACCACACCATACATCATAGTGAGAAAACAACAACAGTCGCAATACCAACATGACCGAAGAAAGAGTTAATAACAGCCGGTGTCGAAGGTGCTGTGGCCCACGCTCCTTAATAACATGCTAACACCATGGAGCACAGCGTACGCTTAACTAAGGGAAAATACAATACTGTTGGTAATAATGCATACTTAACCATTACACCGCACTCTAAACGCATTAAAAACTCATTGTACACGCTTTAGTTTGACTTGCCTGGAGCAGACGCCATTTTGCTGAAGTCGTTCGCAGGAGACTGAACAAAGCGACGGCGGCGAGGCGGATACCAGGGCTGCTGAGGGAGTATCGCGATATTTCACCACTGCAACAACTGTGTTTCAAAGAATCTCGCGAGAACTATAGAAGTGACACCCCCTCCAGGAAGAAGACGGAGAGCGTCCATCGCCATAGTAACGTACACAGAGTAGCGGCCATATTGGGATGGTGAGAGAAACTCATTCAAACTGCTACAGGAGCTAGACTGTGTAGTTTTAAGTGAAACTAAATTAATATATGTGGAAAGGTTGTTTTTGAATATAGGTTTATGCCAAGTACATAAGTTATAAGCATCTTGGGTTCTTGTTCAACTAAAATGAAAGAATGGAGAATGTCACTCCATTGGACTGTTGTTAGTGAAGAGGTAGCGGTAGTTGAAAGGCAAGCTCTCAATTAACCAAAAAGATTGAGGTCAAAATGAGTTTCTTCCTCAGAGTAGCTGGGCGCTTTCTTTGCGATAAGGCGAGCATAGTGCACACGGGAGGAGCTCAGAGTAGAGCCGCTGCTTCTTCACGTTAAGAGGAGCCTCCGGTGGCTTGGGCATCTGTTTTGGACGCCATCCTGGGGAGGCCTTCTAGACATGTCCCACCAGGATCACCACCAGGACACCTTGAGGGACATCTCTCAGTTATTATACCAAATGAAAAATTAGTATAATAACTGATGCATTGTTCCACTTCTGTTTATTATTATGACACACATACATTAAATGTTGAGTATCATCTCCCTGAAGCGTGAAATGTGGACTTGTTTATGTAAATTTTAGAATGTACCATATCAAATGTACATGTTCCACCAGATTTATGCAAGTTAATCTTGAAAATAACAATCTTCGTATTTGGGGTAACATAAGAAATCATAACTTATTGTAAACAGTATAAATATAACGCACAAAACTGTATAATTATATGATGTGGTATGAGAAAACAAAAATAGACTCACTTATATATATACACAATACATACATGACACGTGATTAGTAGTAATTTCAGACTCAAAAATTCCCCTAGAACCACAGACTGTAAAAATTAGTGACAGAATCCGAATCCACAATCTCTCTAGCGCGCGTTGACTGTGGGAGGAGCGCGCTTTAGGACCCACGTGACAAAATACGGAAGCGACAAGGCACAGACATGATGGATCTATAATAATAACTGGCACAGAGCAGAGAAGCCAAAAACAAACGTGTAATTATTTATTTTTTATGTGTTGCCTTTGGATTTTTTCAAAATTTTGGTTTCTTAATATATTTTAATAAATATGGTCTTCAGTCTCCAGTTAAAGGCTAGTGATGATATCTCGCATTTTGACAGTATGCAGTTGGTTTGGATCAGATCGCCCCGGTTTCTTTTCGGGTACATTGTTATTAGGTGTTGTAATGCTCTCACTCCATGCTGCTGGGATCCAAGCAAGTCTTAGTTTGGGACCTGATGGGAACCTTCCAAGGCTCAGGGGTAAGAACATTATCCATAATACTTTCATATTTTACAGAGTATAGGTTATCTGGTGGAGCACTCATCACTAGTTTGTCTCATGCCAATTATATGGTTTTCTCAGGAATGTTTCACAGTATATACTGTAATATATGTTAATGGAGATAAAACTTATGAGTTTCTATGTTGATTTATTTTGTGCTCTGATCCGATCTCTGTGTAAACCAGATGCTCCATCTGGCATTGTTCCTCTCAATAAACAATAGTAAAAATATTATATGGTGTACCTAACCATTATACTACCATGTTTGTAGTGAATGAGTATTTAATTCTGTATTTTTTTATGTTGCTTTCTACGAATTCAGAAGTTTTCTTTCAGTCTGTGAGAAAAACTAAACTGTTTGACACATTGCCAACTTCCACTGTTTCCACTGTGAGTAAAGATGACTGTTACAGTATTCTTAGAGGGCTGCTGTAATCTACTCAGTCTTTTTAAACGTATAATCTACAAATTAGTTCTACATGAATTAATAATTCGACAGTAGCTCAGTTGGTAGAGCATTGGCCTTATGCCCAGAAGGTCGTGGGTTCAATTCCCACCTCTGCACCTTCTCCACCGACTCCCACTGATGACTGCTGTCGTTGTGTCCTTGGGCAAGACACTTAACCCCACTTTGCCCAAAGCCCACACTGAAAGATCAAGGCTATGCTCACACTCAGAGAGCAGCCGTCCTCCTGTGGACTCACCACCTGCAGAGGGTCAGTGAGGGGCTGGTGCAATGAGACTTGGGTGGCATCTCTGACTGCCACCCCCCTGACCCAGAAATGGATTAAAGGGTAGAAAATGGATGGATGGATGGATGGATGAATTAATAATTCTACAGACAGGCTGTGGTACTGACATACTCATATAATTATGCATTATTTTTTACCCATAAAAAACATCTTGAGACTTTTTACTTTGTTATTTACTGAATGTGAAGTTGAAAAAATATGGAAAAAATAATTATCAAGCGTGAAAATAAAAATAAAGAGGGACCAGAGGGAGGAGTAATAATGTGACTTTCTCTGTGCAGACATATTCCTGTTCGCCTTGAGCCACGACGATGCCCCCTCTCTGCTGGTGAACGTCTGCTGCCTCCTGCTGGTGGGCCCGTGTCAGGAGCGGCGCTGGGGCACGGTGGCCTTCCTGGGGCTGGCAGCTGTGTCCTGGGCCGCGGTGCCCTGTGCCTACTCCCTGGTGCTCTGGGTGGGTGTGGGCGATGCCAGCCGGGTGTGTGGATACTCCGCGGTGCAGCTGGCCTTGTTCACAGCACAGTGCAGACAGGTGACGAAGAGATCCTTTATTCTTCCCACAATGAGGAAATTTCAGTGTTGCATCACAGAAGAATTACATGGTCACAGGACAGAAGGAATGAGCTCCTCCTTCACAAAGCATAATATACGATTAAACAATTGGGCACTGTAGACAGAACTGGGATCCAAATCAATCAATCAATCATTTATTTTTATAGCACAATCCGTGTACAAGGCAATTCAAAGCGCTTCACAAGAAAAAAGAAAAAACACAAATCAAAATGCATTATAAAGTCAATAAATATACAATTATTTAAATATTAAAATAAAGCAGTTTAAAAGTATGGGATTTAAAACACACTAAAAAGTGAGGTAAAAAAATAAAAATAAAAAGCCAACAAAAGTAATAAGCAGTACGAAATAGAATCAGTCAGTTGTATGCACAGCTAAAGAGATATGTTTTCAGCCTAGTTTTAAACATGGTCAGGGTAGCGCCTGTGTCACAACCTCAGGAAGGCCGTTCCATATCCTAGCTTAAATCGGAAACGCTGCCTCCCCATGTTTCGTCCTGACTCTGGGCACCTGCAGGAGGCCAGTCCCTGTGCTCCTCAGAGTCCCAGCAGGAGGCCAGTCCCTGTGCTCCTCAGTGTCCCAGCAGGAGGCCAGTCCCTGTGCTCCTCAGAGTCCCAGCAGGTTCATATGGCACTAGCATGTCACGGATGTACAGTGCCTTGCGAAAGTATTCGGCCCCCTTGAACCTTTCAACATTTCGCCACATTTCAGGCTTCAAACATAAAGATATAAAAAAATTATTTTTTGTCAAGAATCAACAACAAGTGGGACACAATCGTGAAGTGGAACGAAATTGATTGGATAATTTAAACTTTTTTAACAAATAAAAAACTGAAAAGTGGGGCGTGCAATATTATTCGGCCCCCTTGCGCTAATACTTTGTAGCGCAAGGGGTTGGATGGAGAGCGTTTGTGAACAGCAGTCTTCAGCTCTTTCCACAGATTCTCGATTGGATTCAGGTCTGGACTTTGACTTGGCCATTCTAACACCTGGATACGTCTATTTGTGAACCATTCCATTGTAGATTTGGCTTTATGTTTTGGATCATTGTCCTGTTGGAAGATAAATCTCCGTCCCAGTCTCAGGTCTTTTGCAGACTCCAACAGGTTTTCTTCCAGAATGGTCCTGTATTTGGCTCCATCCATCTTCCCATCAATTTTAGCCATCTTCCCTGTCCCTGCTGAAGAAAAGCAGGCCCAAAGCATGATGCTGCCACCACCATGTTTGACAGTGGGGATGGTGTGTTCAGGGTGATGAGCTGTGTTGCTTTTACGCCAAACATATCGTTTTGCATTGTGGCCAAAAAGTTTGATTTTGGTTTCATCTGACCAGAGCACCTTCTTCCACATGTTTGGTGTGTCTCCCAGGTGGCTTGTGGCAAACTTTAAACCAGACTTTTTATGGATATCTTTGAGAAATGGCTTTCTTCTTGCCACTCTTCCATAAAGACCAGATTTGTGCAGTGCACGACTGATTGTTGTCCTATGGACAGACTCTCCCACCTCAGCTGTAGTTATCTGCAGTTCATGCAGAGTGATCATGGGCCTCTTGTCTGCATCTCTGATCAGTCTTCTCCTTGTTTGAGATGAAAGTTTGGAGGGACGGCCGGGTCTTGGTAGATTTGCAGTGGTCTGATACTCCTTCCATTTCAATATAATTGCTTGCACAGTGCTCCTTGAGATGTTTAAAGCTTGGGAAATCTTTTTGTATCCAAATCCGGCTTTAAACTTCTCCACAACAGTATCTCGGACCTGCCTGGTGTGTTCCTTTGTCTTCATGGTTCTCTCTGCGCTTTAAACAGAACCCTGAGACTATCAAAGAGCAGGTGCATTTATACGGAGACTTGATTACACACAGGTGCATTCTATTTATCATCATCAGTCATTTAGGACAACATTGGATCATTCAAAGATCCTCACTGAACTTCTGGACTGAGTTTGCTGCACTGAAAGTAAAGGGGCCGAATAATACTGCACGCCCCACTTTTCAGTTTTTTATTTGTTAAAAAAGTTTAAATTATCCAATACATTTTGTACCACTTCACGATTGTGTCCCACTTGTTGTTGATTCATGACAAAAAAATAAAATTGTATATCTTTATGTTTGAAGCCTGAAATGTGGCGAAATGTTGAAAGCTTCAAGGGGGCACTGTACCCTGGTGCAAGGCCATGGAGAGACTTGAATACCATGATGCCCACTCTTGCAGCCACCATAAGGTCAAATATGCTAAAATAAGTGCATAAGTCAGTATCCGTAACCCACTGTTGTGATTTAGGGCTATAAAAAAATATATTGAATTGAATTAATTAACCTGAGAGCTCTATCGGATCTATCTCTCCATCAGTATCTATTCTGCTGTTACGTCACATCCAGTCTATACAGTGGAAGCTAGTATTTTTGTCTTTTTCTTTAGTTAAATAAACAGATGCATCAGGCTAAACAAAGTTATCTGTAATCGACCACATTGCCTACTAATTATCAGTTTTGGTATCGACCCTGAAAACTGCGAATCAGTGGAGCCCTCAGTCGTTTGAACCATGCCTGGTCTTGTCCCGTGGCAGGTGAAGGGCAGGAGGCTGGGCTGTGTCCCCGTGTGGCTCCTGCCCTGGACTGCCCTGCTCCTGGCCCTGCTGCTGCTGCCTGGGACCCCCGCCCTGCTGCACTTCTGCGCCATCTGCATCGGACACAACTGTATCCTCCTTTAAACTCTTCACACTCGGGGTTATTGTGATTATGTTAATGCATCTCTTAAAGGAGACATATTATGCTAAATATTAATGTTTAAATGTGTTTTTGAGATTTTAACCATGTTCTAACATTATTTTGAATTATTATTATATTCTTGCTATTTTCATTATTGTTATTATTCCATCATCAAACACAGACTTGGAGTTGTTTTTAGATCCATCCAAGCTTATATCAGGAATTCTGGGAAAACGTGTAACTCCGCCCCTTCAGTCTACCCTTTTAAAACAGAAGTACTACTTATAAAATTAGTTTTTGCAAATTCTCAGGTGAAATTAGTGTCTTTACAATTGCATAGCTGTGATCTTTTAATTTGGAAAAAACAAAAACAACGCTCTAGTGAAAGCATAGGGATTTGTTTTGTCACATATTTCACACTTTATAGACAGTAAATGTGTTCTTTAACGGACAAATATCATGGAAATGTACCTTTTTGATCAATTACCAGCATTGTCCCATCATCAAAACACAAACCTGGAGTGATTCTTACCTTCAGAAATATACAGAATTATTATTATTAGTAACTCACAAATTAAAGTGATGTTATGAGTTGTGTAATGTTGTTTGGAGGGTTGCATAGAGCTTCCTTAACCCACGTCCCAGACAGCGTACATTTCATCGGGACACTACAGGAGCTGGAGCGCCTCAGCCTGGTGCACCGTGTCCCAGAGTGGGCCTTCATCTCCTCCCCCTCCAGGATCAGACTCCCCACACACTCTGCCTCACACAGGTCTCTGCTACTCCCCATTACCAATGAGATATACTCCATTGTATTTCTCATTGGTAACTTGTGGTGGGCAAAAGTTACATAAACATCAGTAGTTGTAAGTTAATAAAAATTATGCAAAACATAAGTTGTTTGAAAAAAGTTTGGATAGAGCAGACAATACAAACCACATGCACACACACACATATAAAGAGTTTTAAAGTCCAGAGAGTATCTGGACTTTAAAAGGTTATAACTCAAAAACTAAAAGTACTGTCATAAATTGTCAAACACAGACACATTGAAGAGATAGTGTGGATAAAATCAAAAGGAAAGATTGACAAATGCATTTTTGGCGACATTTTAAACGACAAAATCAGCCTCAGATTTGACCATTCTACTGTGACGCCGGTTACATAGAAAATGAAATGTCCTCAGTCTGAAAAAGCGGCAGATTAAATCCCACAAGATTAATATGGTTAACACAACATCAGGAAATCACTTCATTTAAAAAGGAATCGTAAAAAAAAAAAAAAAAAAAAAAAAAATGACCCTTGAAAGATGTCTAACGAACGTGATGGTTTCTGTCCATTTTTCCCTAACAATTAAACATGAGAAAAATAAAAATCTGGTCTGTTTTCACATTTAATTAGTTGACTATATGAAAGTATAGTCTATTCTATGTAAAAAATAAATAGGATCTCTTAATCAAATGTGGATCTGAAAATACGTATCAAATTTTCCGCAAAGCTCATTCCGTCAAATCATCGTCCGTTACATAAAATAAACAGGGCCGCTTTGGATTATTAATATCACATTTTTGGCCTTTTGTCACACTTTTGTGCCCTTTAGTGTGAACAAGCCCACTACGCACACATGTATACACGTTATTTATAGGTGTAGATGTTGAATATATTATGCTCCCTACACATGGCTGGTACCCACTGATCCAATCTATTCCACAGATTTAGTCAACCGTCTGAGCCAGGCCCCCCGGTGAGCTCCTATCACCCTTTCTCTGGAACCGGCCCTGGGATGGACCTCTTTGAGCCTGGGCAAAGTTCTAGTTGGAGCTCAGACCACTTTCATGGTGCGACTGAAGTGGAAGTTTTGGAGGAGCAGATGTTCCGGGCTGGGATCCTGGCTTCTCTGCAGGATTATCCCGACAGTGCTTACTCCCTGGGGTCTTCACATTTCCCTCAGGCCACATCTGGGGTCCGGTCCTCCCTACAAGACCCTCTGGACTCTCCGCAGGCAAAAGTGGAGCTGCCCAAGTCCTCCGTCTCCTCCCTTAGGTCAGCATGTGCTTTCAAAGTGCAGAAGGGCATGTTACAGTGTTATTACCTGATTAAAAAACAGTTGGTACAAAAACCTTGTGCCCAATTTACTGTATTAAAATAGAATTTCAAAAGTTCATATGGAACAGTTTGCAGCAGTTAAAGCTTGTTCCTCAACTGCCACCATCCTCAAATCTAAATTATTCACAACAATTATTATATTTTTGTATACTTTATTTTGAGTTTTCGTTTGAGAATTATGGTTCAATTTAAAGTTAAGGTAAAATGTTGTGAACAAATCGGACCAAAACATGCCGTCTTCATCATATTAGAAATGAATGGATAAGATATTTTATGTAATAGCCTCAGGAGTCACTATTTGATACTGAAAGCTGATTGGCTGAGTGAGTGTGGTCCTCTCTTTTTCACTTCTGTCTGAAAAAGCTGATCTAAAGATGTGACAAAGGCCAAAAATACATTCATGTGAAAACTAGAGATAACTGTTTGAGTCAGGACTTAGTCAGTTAGTTGGATTTTATTACAGAGTTTGATAATTTTGTTGTTGAATGTCAGGTACCGCAGCTTTAAGTGGAAAATCCTGATCTGAAATCCTCTGTGCTCAGTCTTTGTGCATGTTGCTGACGTGTGCCCTGTGTTCCAGGCTGCAGCAGCTGCAGAGGATGGGCTTCTGCACAGAGAAGGCGGTGGTGGCGCTGGCAGCTTCCAAACAGCTAGAGGGCGCTGTGTCTCTGCTTGTGCACGACTCGATCGGCCCTGAGGCTGTGGTGGTGGGAGCTGCGGCCCCGGGGCCAAGTCCACATAGATGATCATTTGTTTATATTAATGTGTGACTGACTTGTTGTGAGTGGGACTTTTACAACATATTTAAAATTTTGCAAAATGTCTTCAACCGTAAGTTTTCTGTAATAGTGAGAAACAAACCAGTGAAATATTCCGGGTCATAAAAGCAACAAAATCTATCCCCGATACAAATACCTACGTTTAGAATATCCTGTAAACTGGATTAGGGCTGTAATTAATGGTTATCTTCAATTATTCTTTTGATTATAGTTGTTTATCCGGGAAGATCTGTGAACATGGGATTGTTTCTACATTTGACCAGAACAAAGGGATGCCCCGGAAGAACATTCTCATAGAGAGGATTTGTTACACATTGGGTTTGATTCAAAATACTTAGTAAACACATTTTCATTTTGATCTGCGTCATTATAGAATTATACGAGTCATAAAACCTTCTCAGACGTGTAGTTGTTTAATCGGCTTATACAGGAGTGTCCACACATTTTAGTAAGAGCCACTTTGGTTCACCAGACTAGTCCAGGGGGCCAACGTCACTGACTGAAAAACTGTTTTGACTGGCATCGGGCTGTTCTGAGCTTTATAATGATCTATAACAGAGCTGAAGTTGGCTGTATGACAAATGTTTACCATCTCACAAGTCAACGACTGAACTCCAGACGTGCTGGGCTTTAGAGCAATGTACAACATCTATCTTGGCTGAGCTGAAGTTGGATGGATGACACCGTGAACTTGTGTTTATGAGCTCAAAGTGTACTGTGGTTTAGCAAGGCAGAGGGCCACATGAAATGACACCGAGGGCCGCAATTGGCCCCCGGGCCTGAGTTTGGACATGCCTGGCTTATACCATGGTCAACACGCTCACACACACATTACTTATTAGAAGAATACATATATATTTTGTCCAGTGAACTTTCAAAAACATGCTCGAGCAAAGTCCAAAGGAATACTTTTTGAGCCAAGAGCAAGAGTCAGCATAAGCCACTTAGCAACCGTTGCCATGACCAAAATGTAAACACACACACACCACACAGGAGAAAAAGCATAGTTTTCCGACATTTAACTCTTGATTTTTACACAATGATAAATATTTAGCTTGTTTATATTCAACCCCTGCTGTATAAAAGCCTTTAAAAGTATAAAACTGTTGCTGTGTGTTGCTATGGTGATACCCCAGATGTGGTGAAAACAATGTTAAGTTTGCGCTGGAATCCTCACTGACCTTACAGCCCTAAACCAGATTAGACCAGACTTGATTTTTTTTTTATTCTGGTCACAGTGTTTGTACCATAACAATTTGTAAGTTATACATTCTGTTATTCTTACATAAAAAAAAAAAAAAAAAAAAAAGTGCTTCTGTCATTTTAATTTCAGAGTTTACAACCAAGACTTTACACAGAAAACTCGGAAAGACAAGTAAAAACCAAACATTTTTATTACATGAATTGGAAAAAAAACAAAATTTGAGACTTGACCACGTTACAAAAGTATAAAATGGTTATACAGCAGATTACGGTAAAAACATCCATTTAAATAAAACAACTTATTCTGTGAGAAAAGTCAACAATAAACTGTCACTAGCACCTTTAACATATTTTCAAAATCATATACGAAAACGTGACTTTTGCATAGACTTTGCACAATTTGGTTCTGGACAGACTTGACTCATAACAAAACCGTATTAAAAGTGTAAAAGTGAAATAAGCATATTCAACACTGGAAATGACAAATATTAATCAACACATAAAAAAATAGGAACGGGACGAGACGGAACAAGTTTGCGTCAAAAATCGGTCCTTATTGAACTGTTATTAGTAAAGGATAATTCCAAAAGTGAATTCATTTTGACAGTAAACATAGCAGACGTAGCAGGAGCGCTGGTGTGTACTATACTGGTGCATGCTGGGGTTAGCCTGGTCGTACCACACCATAGTACACATTACATTTGGTACTAAGGTCTGGACGTGCTTCGTTGACCCGTTTACAGGTGGGAGGGGTTAACTCCTTTTGCAGATTGAAACGATTGGATCTGAGTTTACCGTGACGTTTGTAATGCGCCGGAGTCTGTTGTTAGCATTTAGCCTAGCTTTAGCCATCTCCTTTGCCGCTAACGGAGCCCGTGGGGAGTAGCGCCACAATTTTTCCAGCGATTACATTTGCTAAACATTCCTCTTGCTCCGGCTTCAATTTCTTGATAGAACCAGACCGGATTACTTTACTATCACATTTTTTGCCAAACTACAACCTTCCCGTTTGACGCAAACTCTTGACGTCACCCACAACTAACTACAACACCCGCCTCCCGCGCTCTCTGATTGGTCGGTCGAAATTAAACCGACTGTAATCGCGAACACAGGGACCAGACCCAGACGTTACATGTACAAATTTTCCCAGTTTCCTTAAACGCACCATCTGGGTTCCATGTCTCACCTTTTCTTGCTAAAGTTGGAGATTTTTGTACTTAAGTCTTGCTTCTTCATCATCCTAAAGTTTAAGATTTTAGACTTAGAAAGATAGAGATTTTATACTGCTTCTTTTATGCTAGAGTTAGAGATTTTATTTTAGTATAGAGTTATTATACATTTATCTTGTGCTCTGTGCTCCTCATTCCAACTGTTCTGTAACTTGTGATGCAACACTTTTCCCCACTGTGGGACAATTAAAGGATCTCTTCATCTTAATCTAATGTAAATATATATCTATTATTCTCCCGTTTTTGTCATATTTATGATGTTTTATTTCATGTTCCCAGTTTCTCATCCCACTCCTATGAAAAAGCAAATCCAAAGTATAGACATTTCTTTTATAGTTACAACATATTCATAATTATTAGCATCTGATTCACTGGATACATAAATAAGCCTTAAACAGACCAAGTCGTTATGGTCACAAATCAACATTAGCAGAATACATAGAAAGTTTCTCCTAGAACTACACAAATGCGGAATCAAAAACGGAAACATGTGATAATAACCAGCAGATGACGTCACGGTGGAATGATGGAGGCTGCGTTCACGTGACATCACAACGGATGGATCTATTATAATAACTGGATAGGCTATTATAGCTTGGAGCTGAAGGACCCATGTGCTCCGGGGATTCTCGCGGTACTGCAGACTGGACAAGACGAAATTCACGTGGGCTACCCAGATATGTTCCCCATAGAACTCAATGTAAACTAAAACAGCTTAACCTCAGATACAGGTGACAGAGAACCTGACAGAGAACCTGACAGAGAACCTGACAGAGAACCTACAGCTTTCATTAAGGTCGGATTTTGTGGGGGTTTTAGTGTCCCTTGTCATCCTGAACTTTTTTTCTTCTTAAATCCTTTTCTTTAAATCCAAACTTTAGTACCACAAACCCTGCCCGTCTGGCTCCCGCTCTGATTGGTCAGAGCGCGGCCGAGCCCCTCTGTGCACGTGCATGAGAGCCACACACGCGTATTTGGCGCAGAGCATCATGGGAGATCATCCACTGCGCAGACCAGACGCATGGATCTATTATAATAACAGACGATGCCCAAATTCAGGTGAGTTTCCCGTAGATCTTTGCGAGTTCCATGCGCCACTGAGCACAAACCATTCATTTGAATACGCCGCCATCTTGGATCGCCGGGGCTTGGGCTATGCACTGTTTAAATAGTAATCTGCCATGATCAAAAACTTTAACCTTTGTGCTACCCTCAGGTCAAAATGTTCCACCACAGATGACTCAACGTAGAAGAAAAAATACCCTACATGAGTCTAAAAGGATCTAAGAAGGAAAAAAAAAAAATCAAAATTCACATAATACAAAATTATTTAGGGTATTTTGGATTCACTCTGACCCGAGGATGGAACAAGGGTTTTTAAAGACAAATTTGATGTCAGTTGAAAGGACTTTTTGCCTAAATTTCTGACAACAAATACTGAGAAGGACGGACACTTCATTTGGATAATAATTTTTGAGATTTACGATCTGTCCAATAAACTGTTGTGATGTCATTTGAAACAGCGCTAATAAAGAATCCACTGAACGTAATATTACATTTTGCAATATTTCTTTTCGTATTGTGCCACATGAAACCAGCAGGTGGCTTCTACAAAACGTACAGCTGCAAAGTCCCTCGAGCCTAAGACATTATTGTTTCTCCTGCTCGTGTGATTTCCCGCTTCATTTTGAGTTTTCAGTTTGAAGCAGAAAGTCTCTCCAGTCCATGAACACAAAGACACAACACATTGCATTGATATTTTATTCTTCAATTTCGAAAAAAGGACATATTATGCTAGAAAGAGATACATATATTTGGTTGGAATCTTGTTTAAGTAACATTTTGTGAACAAAGCAGACCACGTCATGCTGTTTCACTGAGAGCTGATTGGCTGATGGCTGGTGCTCTCTTATCTACAGACTAAAACTAACTGACACAGCTAACCAGGACTTCAATAAATAGTTAATTATTATTAAAAAAGTCAGGTACTCAGGCTTTAATTTCAGCTTAAAAACCTCTCCAGGGTCAGACAGATTCAGCACAGAGTATTCTGTGAGGAGAAGGGGATGTGTTTATATCACTGTGGGTGAAACTCCAGATCTAATTTTCATGATGGAATGATGTAATTTGGATTATTGAATATGAAGTGGGCGGAGCTTAATGCTTTAGCAAGTAAACTTCTAAGTCCGCATCAAGAAATTAACCAAAGCACACAAAGAATGAGCTGCTTTGTCTAGAACAGTGTCTCCCAAAGTGGGGTCCGCAGCCCCCTGGTGGGCTGTGAGGGTATTGCAGGGGGGCCGCGAGAGGTCATCACACATTTTTATATAATTATTGTATGTTGCAGCGTGCGCAGTGATGCGGTCGCTGTATCGGACCTCCCTGGGGGGGTGTTCCGGGCACGTCCCACCGGGAGGAGGCCCCGGGGAAGACCCAGGACACGCTGGAGGGACTATGGCCCCGTCCCAATACTCGCACTTCCACCCTCGCGCCCCTCATTTGCGCGTTCCCGATAAAGGGTGCGAGTGCGTAGGGTGTCCCAATTCTCCAGGGAGGTCTTTGGCCCCGCCCCCTTTGCGCCCCTGATCCACACTTCGCCGTAGCCTGCATCTATGCGCACTCTGGCGAAGGATATTGCCCATAATTCTTTGCGGTACACACCAAAGCGTCGGGAAAATGCATTTAAATATACATTTTGAAATATATATGCAGTATGTGTGTAAATAAGTTTTGCTGTTACTTGGAAAGAAGCATAAACGTCTGATGAAGAATTACGGACATTGTGTTTTAACAATTTAATAACTTTTTAAAGCAAGAGTTCATATAACATTCAATTTAAACTTTACACTTAGTACAATAATCTTAGAATGTATAAAAACTGACCAGATAGTTAGTTACCCACATTTAACTTAAAATTATACAGCTATCTCTAATTAGAAACCACTAATATACATGTATTTTAACGTGTGTGAAGCAATTCAATTTGTTTCCCAAAGGGTCAGACAAAGTTTAGGTCTGAAAATGACCATCTCTTGACGAGTCGATGACGTCACCTGCACTCAGTGTGCACTGTCCCAATTCTGCCTTTTGTGCTGTAACCTGTGCACTCAAACCCTTGCGCGCACTTCAAACAAATGCACACTTCATAGGAGGGCGTAGGGTGCAGTGTGGGTATTGGGACTGGGCATCTGTCTCTCAGCCAGTGGCGGCCGGCCAATAGAGGGCGCTAGGGCGCCGCCCCACCACTCACAACTTGCCATGTTACCTTGAATAAAACGTTAAAAAAAATAATAACATTAAAATATTTCGAAATTTATGTTTTTTATTTCAGATGTGGAAGAAATACTTTATAGTTTATGCTGAGTTGGATTGATTAAGCTCATCAGCGTTGTCTGTGTCGGACTGAGGACGTATTTCCGCCTCAGGGCGCAAAAGATTGCGCCCTGAGGCGTCTATGGACTCTCGTTAAAAGTTGTACATGCGCAGTAGCTCCTCTTCAATGCAAGAGATAAGACGATTTGGGGGCGCAGGAGAAGTGCGCCCTGAGGGGGTGGGATCGCCCGCGACCTGTACTGTCACTGTCTGTGACGTCCGTTTACAGTGATTGACAGGTCAAGCTGTGGGAGTTTGAGACGAACGTAAAGAGACGCAAAATGGAGAACGAGAAAAAGAATAATTCAGTTAGATCACTCAAAACAATACCGTTTGAGAGAAGATCATACCAGGAGAAGGTTGAGGTTAAAGAGCTTGGACCTGATCAGCCAAATATTACCATTAGTCAGCAGTCCAGCGACAGGGGGAGACGGTACACTCGTACTTTTTCCAGGACCTGGTTCAGCGCCAAATCTTGGCTAGCAGCATGTAGCGAGGCTAATGCTTTATTTTGCTTTCCATGCCTTTTGTTTCAAACATCAGGATCTGACCCAGCATGGATCAAGACAGGTATGACTGATCTGAAGCACTTTTTAGAAAAGGCAAAGAAGCATGAGCAGACTGGTATCCACATGCAAAATGCCCTCAAATTAGCTATGTTTGGGAAGATAAATATTTCATCCCAGCTGGATGAAAGCTACAGGGTAGGGATCAGAAAGCACCCCTACCCTGCTGGTATATATCTAGTCATCATATTCATAGCCCCCCCAGTAGAAAATTCCACCAGCCGCCACTGCTCTCAGCTGGCCTGGGAACGCCTTGGGGTCCCCCCGGACGAGCTGGAGGAAGTGTGTGTGGATAGGGAAGTCTGGGCGTCTCTGCTTAGACTGCTGCCCCCGCGACCCGGCAACGGATGAAGCGGAAGAAAATGGATGGATGGATGGATATTGTATGTTAAATTAATAATATTTTGTTTGTAAAATTAAAATATTTGTATTCATTATTTGACTTGAATAATCAAATTGTAATCATATCTGTATTACAAAATGGGGTGCGTCATTTACATGTTTGCAGCAGAAGCTATTTCCCCAAAATAAAATAACGTGAAGAGCCTATTTCTAAAGTTGTTTTCTTGGTTATTATTCCGGGGGCCGCGCAGACCCGTCGGATTTTTAGGGGGGCCGCAGTGTTACTGACTTTGGGAATGGCTGCTCTAGAATGTGCGAGTAATCTGGGTTCCAGGCTGTTCTGTGGACTGTAGTTAGCTAGTTAGCCTCCGTTATGTCTCTTTATGTGTTTCATACTTTTATACTCTTTGTATTTGGATTTTGAATCAGGGAATTTTACTTTCTGAAACCTAGGCTCTGCCCCCATATGATTATAAATTAGATTTTCCTGTAACTATAGCATAATATGTCCTCTTAAACCCCTCACCCTGAACTACTTTGCAGCACCGAAAAAATGTCAACAACAAAAAAGTTCAACAATGAAAATCAGCAACAGTGAGACCTCCCTCTCCGTCAGAAAAGTGGTTATTGCTCATCCCACGTTAAACCCACCATAGTTCCGCTTGGGTTCCCTGAGATCCGTGGAAACATGCGTCCCCGGGTTCCACACTCAATCCCTTCTGCAGGCACAGTTCCCGTGGGGAGTTCTTTACCTCTGGGGTCAGGGTCTAGTCTCTGCGAGGTTTGTAGGAGGACAGGAGTGTGGACAGGCGCTGTGGAAGGGACCCCTCCTCACGTTTGTCCCTGTAGAAGCTAGAGGGCTCTGTGCTGAAAGGGTCGTCGCCGGACCCCAGCTCCGGCTCTGTGTGGGGACAGAGACAGATGTTTATTTGTTCTATAATGGTCTATAAGCAACGGGCAGTTCAAGGACAATATGACGCAGTTCCAACGAGATAAAAGGCAATTCATATAATCAATAATCAGCCCTATTTGGCCCTACTCTGCTCGACTCGACTCGGCTCGACTCTACCTGGTTGTGTTTTATTACGATTTAGTATCTGGCAACCTACCCTCTACAAACTAGTACCCAGGGAAATTCCTTGGTAACCATGGCTTCCAGCTACCCTCTGGCCAATCTCTGTCAGTTAGAACTCTTTAGTACCAGCTCAGCCTGGATAGAACCAGGGCCGGTGGAAACGCTCCCAATCGAGGTAGAGCAGAGTAGAGTAGAGTAGAGTAAGTAAACAGTCGGAAGTAGGGATTCGAACCCAGGACTTTCTTGGTGAGAAGCGAGAGTGCTCTCCACTCAGCCACCAGAGTCACGGCGTGTAGAAACAGGGACTCACTTAAATCTTGAGTCCCGGTTCTAACCAGGCCAAGCTGGTAGTAAAGTGTTCTAACTGCCAATAATTGCAGCTGGAAGTCATGATTATTAAGGAATAATAGTTTGTTTTGGGTAGGTTGCTAGGATACGGCACCAGATACTAAAGCGTAAACGGGAAACGGTGCTTGTTTGATTCTGCTCAACAATAACAACTCATTCTGACTGTTTTACTCATAATGTGTTTCATACTGCACTGTACCCTTTGAAATAAATGTAACTAAGCCAAGCAATTATGCCAAAAATAAATGTGTTGTTCATAATAAAAACATATTAAATTGATAATTTAACATTCTGAAAGTGTATTAATTTGTATGAGAGGATCTGTTTTGATCCTTTTTAAAAACTCGTCAACATTTAATCCGCAGAGCCCTTTCCTCTATCGTTCTGGATTTATTGTACTATTTATTCAGCCAGATTGACAGTTTGACAAGCCTGTACATGTTTAAGGCTTTTATTGTCAATTTATATAATAAACAATGTGTTAAAAAATATCAAAAAACTCTTGAAATTACTCAGGTTAAGTGAAGCCACATTCTGGGTTCAAGTGGTTTAAAATCTGTTCTGTGGTGGGAGTGTCCGTGTTACCTGGCCAGATGATGGCCTCCAGCAGCGTCACCCTGCGAGCCAGAAGCTCCAGGTCGGCCTGCAGCTCCTGGATCATCTGCAGGCTAACGTCCTGCACACACACAGACGCTCAGACCCAGAGGCCGGGCCCGGGGTCCAGGGGTCTGCGCCCTGTGTGTGCCCTGTGTGCCCTGCCCCCCTCCAGGGCTGTGACCATGCGCTGTCACTGTACTATGCTCTTTCAGGCTTTGATCGTAAACCTGAGCTGTGTGAACGCACTGAAGATGGATTCTCTTCATAAAGCGCACACACATTATCACTCGCTTCTCCAGTCCAGGATTTACATTTACAGGAGAAACTCAAAACATAGAAAATCATTCAAAAGTGTATTCATTTACCTTTATGTTTATGTAGACTTAATACATGTAAAGTGACAAATGCCAAGCCCTTGACTGTTATAGTTTTGATGATTATGGCTTCAGTTCTGTTCTAATGCTGATATTCTGTTTGATTTGGGGCTCTGAGACAATTATCTACATTACAAATGATGGCTTGTATTTTTCCAAAGCTCTCATGGCCACATCCCTCTGTAAGTGAATGAACCAGCCACCCTGACTTGTGATTTATGACATGCTCTGGGGGTCTCTATAGCTAATGCTAAATGATAATGCTAATAATGCTAATAAAGCATATGTTATCTTAACACAGAGGATCATGTATGGTTTATTTCCTGTTGTCTCAGTGTGTATCTTGTCATTAAATATTCTCCTTTATGTACATTTGTAAAGGCTTGACATATCCCACTTTGCCTGTAATGAGCCTGACATATATTAGTTTCACATTGTAAGGAATTGTAATTGATTTATGAACAATATTCTAATTTTCTGAGTTTCCCCTGCATGTACAAACATATTGGTTTAGGTCTATACTATAGAATCTATAGTATAGAATATCTTTACCTTTGTAAAAGACAGATTAAGTCAATATGTCAAATTGTGATTGTATTTTTATAGCCCTGACGCTGTGTGACATAAGCGCATGGTCCCAGCCGCGCCTGCCCTGCCTACAGCTGGCCTACAGCTGGCCTACAGCTGGCCTACAGCTGGCCTACAGCTGGCCTACAGCTGGCCTCCGCTCTCACTCACCATGGATACCGATCATAGTCTCGAGGATTAAAACCCTCTCGGCTAAGATCTTCAGGGCCTCTCTGATCTGATGTATGCCGTCTCCCTGTGAAAAGATACAGCGGTGAGCAGGCACAAGCAGTTAGAGGGTTAACACAGAGCACATACAGCGGCGCCGGCTGGACCATGGGACCACAACCAGTGATGCTACAAAGCCACAATATCAACAGAATCTACAACTATTAGCTGTATATATAATATTCATAATAAATCCAAATACCTCGAGCTATGATAATAACCTGATAAAAGCTGGAGTAACTCTTTGAAGCCACAGACCCCTGCACTGTGGATGATTCTACAGGCTCAACAAAGTGAAATCATCTTGTTCCAAACATAAAGTTAAACTACACTACTTAAAATTACAATTAGATTCAGATTCTGAAAATGAAAACAGATATTTGATGTAGTGTTTATAATGTAAACGACTTTTTAGTATTATACTAGTGCACATGTGTGTTACCTTGTGACCTATGTTTGGCGAGTTTTGGTTCTCTATAAATAAATGGGGAACTCACTTTTCGGAAATCTCCAACTATAATTTGCCTCTTTCTGTCTCTGTCATCCCTCTCCCGTCTGGTACGCTACAATATCCTGGTTTTCTTGTTTGCCCAATATGGACACTAGTTTATTGCTGAACAGTAGCCTGGTGCTTTCTCCACAAACTCAGAGAATGAAAGAATCTCTATGGTCAGAACGGTATTGTGGCTTTTTAACATCCAAGGGTTATCATCTCGTCCCTGGTCTCTGGTGCCTGGTCTCTGGTGTCTGGTGTCTGGTCTCTGGTATCTGGTCCCTTGTCTCTGGACCATGGTCCCAGGTCCGGACCCATGCCTCATCTCATGCTCCATGCACAATCCAAAAGCAGCACCACATCCCGAGGCCCGGTCACTATGGTTACATGCACCGAGGAGGAAACCCAAGTCAATGTCCAACCAAGTCTGACTGATATCATTTATTAAAGCTGACTTTGTAGGGATGCATTCAGGGCGTGGTTTTAATTACCCAGCCCAGAAAGTAAATCGTTTTTCTAATTCTTTTGTGCCTTCTCAGATTCAGTTTTTTCTAACCTTTGCTTTAAAATCCCACTGGAATACATGTGCTAAGGTACCCCAGAGTGCACCAGACAAGTACATAAAAACTGCTGAACATTGTATTGATGCTTCTTATACTGTAATCTGCTGTGACTCAATATGTGATTGTAGATTGTAGAAATTGTTGACATTTTATGAATCAAACCCAGTCCAAACACTGTCCTGTATTTGCTTTTTTGGGACAAACGGTTGGAATGGGACTAAAAGCCATTGATGGGGTTTTCTTTGGCGCATGAGTAAACGCTGTGACGGTCGGACGCTCCTCATGCCACATTCTACAGGCGTCGGTCCAAACTATTCTGTTCTGTTCTGTCAGCACGAGACCACATTCACCAACAATGTTTAAACATCGCAACCGCAACGTCGAAACTCCTGGAAACTTGTTTTTAGCCTCATCCACACAAATGCTATAGGGATAATTGCAGAAACTACCCCCAACCCCTCGTCTGAATCTGTGCGGATGGACTGACTGAATGCTGACGTCACCACAGGGTTTGCCGAATGCAGAAGAAGCTGATTTGAACAAAAGCTCACTGAAGACAATTTCCTTATTTGGGAATCTCTTACGACGGGGTGACCTACGCATCGTAACAGGGGCAGGTGTATTGCTAAGATGGTTACTAAGGCAAGCTGGAGTTTACCCCACGAATAAAGGCATCTGATTGATCCATTCTCATTTCGAATATATCTATGGCTCAAGTCTATATTATCAAAGATACTGTGAAAATATCAGATCTTAGAGGAGGCTAAACCATGGATTTTTTAAGTCCAAAATGGTGATTGTAAACTGTTTGGAGTTAGGGGAGTCAATAGGAGCTAGAGCAAGTTGGCGCAAAACTTCGCCCATGAGCACTTCCCTATTGGGCTTCTTTGAGCTAATGGTTTAGAGTCGTCGATACACAGTCTGCAGTTTGAAATGATGGGTGGGATCCTGAGGTTGTCTGTCTTATGTTTTCGCTCCTCTTCACAAGGTACGGCACCAAAGGCAAAACCTGTATTCACGCATAATGAATTTGACCCTGTTTAGCCGCATTCAAAGTGAAAGAGATTCATAAAAACTCTGGTGAATGAGGCTCGTCGTCCTTTATCTTGTTGCAACGGTTACAAAACGTAAACATTCAAAGAGACAATAGACAAGAAACAAAACATGGGGAAATACAACGTTGTTAGACAGAGGCCCGTGCACATGCAGGAGGTCAGCGTTCTGCACATTCAGGGACGTTTACAGTGACAGGAATTCAGAGGATTATCTATTCAGGTTAGTGGGGGCGACAGTGGCTCAGTTGGCAGAGCAAGGTCGTGGGTTCGAGTCCACCATAAGACCTACTTCACGACTCCCTCTGATGACTGCTGTCGTTGTGTCCTTGGGCAAGACACTTAACCCCACTTTGCCTGAAGCTCCCACTGAAAGATCTCAGCCCCTGTGGACTCAGCACCTGCAGGAGGATCAGTGAGGGGCTGGTGCTCTGTGTACTGGGTGCAGCTCTGACTGCTTAATCCAGAAATGGATTAAAGGGAAGAAAATGGATGGATGGATGGATCTATTCAGGTTTTTTGACTGTATACAGACTGATAAACAGGTGAAACTTGGAACATTTGATTATTGGTAAAAAGTAAAAAAAAAAATTGGGTTCAATCTCTATTTTTAGAATTCTATTTTCCTTTTATTTGTATGTCCTGGACCTTCTGTGTGTATATTATCCATCCGTCCATTTTCTTAATTAATCCATCTCTGGGTAGGGGGGGTGGCAGTCAGATCTGCACCCAGTACACTTAGCACCAGCCCCTCACTGATCCTCCTGCAGGTGGTGAGTCCACAGGGGCTGAGATCTTTCAGTGGGGGCTTCAGGCAAAGTGGAGTTAAGTGTCTTGCCCAAGGACCCAACAACAGCAGTCGTCAGTGGGAGTCATGAAGTAGGTCTCATGGTGGGCTTGAACCCACAACCTTCAGGCTCTTAGGCCAATGCTCTACCAACTGAGCCACTGTGTATATTACGTTGTTTAAAAAATAAGTGCCCATGAATAGTTAAATGGTTTGAGGAAATTTCTGACTTATCACAAAATCACAAGATTCTTTCATTTCGATTGAGACAACACATTTTAACACCTTGTATAGAAACACGTCAGAAACACCTTGTATAATATTTCAGGTTCATCAAGTTGAATAAAAATGAAAGTCTTCTGAATTCAAGTCATTTTATATGATTTAGAAATCTACTTTCATCATGCAGGAGAGTCGTTGTACTGTTCCACACAGTCATGCAGGGTTATGGAGTAGTAAAGGCAGCTGTATCCCCTTCACAGACAACGCAGACTGTCCCAAAAACACATATATGACAAATGTGGGTCTTTGGCATATACACACTGGATAAATCTAGTTTTGTGTCTCTTTGCTACGCCAGTTTTTGGGCAACCAGCCTCTATCAATTCTAATTTGAAGATGGGCTGATCTAATCGTTTTATGCCAGTATTTGTATGCCAAAGAGAGAGCTGGAGGTGGCGTGAGGGAAGGGCACAAAGAAGAACAGAGCACAAACCCCATCACCCCCCACAAAAGACAGCAGACAATGCACTTACAAAAACAACCATGGGGCTATAATAAAACCTCAATAAGATTCATAGTTGTAAATATGTTTTCTGGGATATTGCACCACAAGTTCAATTTAAAACCAGGACTTATTATACCTCCATGGTCATCAACAATACACAGCACAAATGTATAGAAGACGCCAACACCGTGAACTTCCAACGTCCCAAGATGTGAGGGGGTTTCAGTCAAGCTAAACATTTGTAAATGAAATGAGTCTTACATTGAGATTGCTCTTGTAAATTGAACAGGGGTAAAAAAGAACGTGGAGATTAGACACTTATCTGCACCGTTATGAATGATTGTGTACTCAAGCCTTACCGGTGAACCCTTCTCTCCGGGCTCTCCCTTTGAACCCGGCGCCCCCTGGGGATATTAAAAAGTACAGTGTTATAATGTGATGACAAATGTGATATATTGATAGCCCAATCATTTTTCTGTGTTTTGTATTGCTGTTTTCATTCTCCTCCCTTTGGTGGAGTCCCTCAAGGTTCAGTTTTCGGGCCTTTATATTTATCCCTCATTAGTGTCTTTCATAGAATCCAGAAGCCCAGTAGACAACAATAAACTTAACGTTTATGGAATAAATACTTGACTTGACAGGAATTGGTTAAAACACATTCAAACTCAAGTTGATGAAAAATGTTGAAGCCTTTTAACTGCAACTCATGATAATACAGATCAAAGACAACTGCAACTTTTCACTACTGACAGCGTTGTTGTATCAAAGATAGTGCGCGGCCTTCACTGCAGGCACCGTGCTGATGGGGGTGTTATACATCAGTGTGCGCTAAGCTTCATATGTTCTTCAGGAATCAGTTCATACAGACTGTTTCCACGGGCAGCATGGACAGCAGACATAGCAGACCCTTACCGGCTCTCCCCTGAAGCCCCTCTCTCCAGTCGCACCCACAGGTCCCTGGAACAGCAGCAGTGTTAGACATGATCACTGACGATGGACACATGAGAGCAGAGACTTACTCTGTCCCCGCGCTCTCCCTTTGGCCCCATGGGGCCCTGAGCTCCTGGGACTCCAGATTTACCCTGCAAAAACAACATGGAATGATATAGAAAACATGACAGAGCGGACATTTACAATGGACTCACGTTCTGCCCCGGAGGCCCAGGAGGTCCTAATGGGCCTTTTGGACCAGGTGGACCTGGGGATCAAAAGTAAAGTCATTAGATGTAAGAAAGTTATAATTGTACAAACACATACTTGTCCGTCACAGCAGGGGAAGCACAGCACTGATTGGATTTTGATTGATAGTCCAACCATTTCCTGAACCTGAACCAGTTTCATAAGAATGAAGATAGTGACCAGAGGCTGCACTTCCCTGACATCCTGTAAACACTCTTCCTGACTGTTTATATCAACACGTTCCCACTGTGGACTCAAACTCCTTCATGGAGAATGTTTCACAGTTTGTTTTAACTTGATATTTACATTCAGTCATGCGAGACTTACAAAGCAAAAGTAAGTAGAACATTACACTCACCCATTGGGCCAGGAGGCCCCTGGGGGCCAGGCACAGGGGCCCCTCTGGAGTCATGAAATGTATTTGTGAAGAAGTCTTTTCCGCGGGCTGGACACAAACGCACTCATTAATCACAGATCACAACAATGTCATTAAAAGTGTAGGTCTCTCATGTATCAACTACGAGCCTCCTCTAGAGGGCAGTGTCCTCCCTGACATGACCACAGGAGACAGTCTCTGTCACAGGTCAGTCTGGACTTCTCTACCACCTGTCAGTCCATGTGGACCTTTCTCCACTGTTTTTATTTACTTTCTCCTAACCAAAGAAGCATCTGTGACATTTTTATTAGTTGGCTTAAGTTCCATTGGTTTTCAAGGGCAATGTAGAGTTTAATTTGTTTGATTTTCTAATCTGTAAATGGGAAAACATCAATTTTGTAAAGACTATATGTGTATATTTATTACAGATTTGGTGTATGTTTAACAAACATATATTTCCTACTCACCAACTGTATTCCGAAAAGTTAGTTTGCTTTTTTGTTAGTTTGTTTCTAATCATTTACTTTTTAATTTGGCATCTGAGTAGTGTCCTTAGTTTTTCATGATAATTCTACAGCATTTCCATGGCAACAGAAGCTATTCTCTCTGGTCCCTCAGTTTCCTCTGCATCTGAACTCTCTCCTCATCTTTCTGCATCTGAACTCTCTCCTCATTCTCTGCATCTGAACTCTCTCCTCATTCTCTACATCTGAACTCTCTCCTCATTCTCTACATCTGAACTCTCTCCTCATCTTTCTGCATCTGAACTCTCTCCTCATCTCTCTACATCTGAACTCTCTCCTCATTCTCTACATCTGAACTCTCTCCTCATCTTTCTGCATCTGAACTCTCTCCTCATCTCTCTACATCTGAACTCTCTCCTCATTCTCTACATCTGAACTCTCTCCTCATTCTCTACATCTGAACTCTCTCCTCATTTCTCTGAATCTGAACTCTCTCCTCATCTTTCTGCATCTGAACTCTCTCCTTATTTCTCTACATCTGAACTCTCTCCTCATTTCTCTGGATCTGAACTCTCTCCTCATTTCTCTGGATCTGAACTCTCTCCTCATTTCTCTGCATCTGAACTCTCTCCTCATCTCTCTGGATCTGAACTCTCTCCTCATCTCTCTGGATCTGAACTCTCTCCTCATTTCTCTGCATCTGAACTCTCTCCTCATCTCTCTGGATCTGAACTCTCTCCTCATCTCTCTGGATCTGAACTCTCTCCTCATTTCTCTGCATCTGAACTCTCTCCTCATCTCTCTGGATCTGAACTCTCTCCTCATTTCTCTGCATCTGAACTCTCTCCTCATCTCTCTGGATCTGAACTCTCTCCATGGCAGCCGAGGTGCTTGTGGCCTCTCTGTCTGGCCTCCTGTGGAGCACTTGAAAGTCTGGCTGCTCTGTGGGCAAACATGAGTGTGTTTAGTGAAGGAAGCCCCCTCACATTCTGCTCCACCACAGAGAGGGGGGACAGGGATCCATGCCAACACCAACAGCCCTCCCACCGCTACACAAAAACTGTAGGATTTAAAATGACTTGGACTCAAGTTTAGCTGAACCTAGATTATTAACTAGGGTTTTTATTCATTAATGTGTATCTAAACTAAGAGCAGAGAGTACTTCATGTAATGTGCTCTCCATCTGTGCTTTGTTTTGAATTGTGTGTTGATTGTTTAACGATGGTTCTGCCGCCTGTCGACCAGGACTCTCTCGGTCACTGGGATTTTATATTTCAAGCATGAACCTTTTCCCCATGTGTTTTGTCCAGGTGCTCCAGTTACCCCATACCACTAAAAATATGGACAATATCAGTTTTTTTAAGGATATACAACACAAAAGTGTTACAAAGGTAGGTAGACTTGAACTCTTAAAGCAGGTTGTCACAATGACAGTCATATTTTCTTTTTAAAAGAGACGAAAATACAGATCCTTTACTTTTCATTCATAGAATTATTTTCAGGTGAAGGACTTCCTCCACGGTTCATTTACTACATGCTTTTGGACAGTACCTTCTGGCTCTGGAATGTGTGCACTGACAGGAACGGCTGGTCCAGGGGGCCCGGGGGGGCCAGGTGGGCCAGGGAACCCCCTGTCTCCTGGGAGCCCCGGAGGCCCACGGGGACCTGCAGACAAACAGAGAATAGGAAATATGATTAAGAATAATTTTACATTTACAGTATGTAAAAAGTCCAAGACTGTGAGCTTATATTCTTGTTGAAATATTGTTTACTTTTCATATACAATCTGAACATAGATATAAAACACAACACAGCAAAGTGCTGATGTAGCAGGTCGGGGGCAGTGGATTGGTTGTTTGTTTGTTGTTGTTGTTCCCCTGAGGGCCCCTTCCTTCAGTGTGGCTCCTGCACTATGTGTAAAGTGCTTTAAACTCAGGTCTGTGGAGAATGTAATGTTCATCGGAGACCACAGCATGTGGAGGGTTTCTGGTCAGTAAACAGGTGTTCTTTGCAGGTGCAGCTTTGGTCAAAATCAAAGTCAGAATAAGTGACCCTTTTTCCAAGAGAATTGTGACCTTTATTCATTCAAACAAGTGACCAAATCCAAACGCTGGAGACTGTAAGCCCCGTAGATGGCCTTGTGTGCGGAGGCTCTGTCACCTTACACTCCTCACATTCTCCACAGCTTTCCAAGCCAGACATCGGCCCTGCCTCCGCTCATGAAGTCATGGAGGTAGAAAAAAATATATAATAAGCTCCATATGGAGAGTGTGTGAGTGTGTGTGTATGTGTGTGTGGGTGTGTGTGTGTGAGTGTGTATATACATGTGTGTGTGTGTGTGTATATACATGTGTGTATGTGTGTGTGTGTGTGTATGTATGTATGGGTGTGTGGGTGTGTATGTATGTATGGGTGTGTGGGTGTGTGGGTGTGAGTGTGTATATACATGTGTGTGTGTGTGTGTATATGCATGTGTGTATGTATGTATGGGTGTGTGTATGCATGTGTGTGTGTGTGTGTGTGTGTTCAGTCACATGAGGCTCTGAGAGCAGGAGCACTAATGCCCCACGTCTGGCAAACATGTTCACATCAGTGTCCGTTTCGTAGGTCATTAGATAAGTTACTCTGTGTAGTGGAACATTCACAATAAAGCACTTCTGTTTGGGGTTTTGTTTTTTTTACCTGTAGAGCAGTGTCTGTAGTGTCAAACACTGTCAAACATGGTTTTGTTGAGACCCACATTTCCCTGAAGCCTCAGTCTCTCACACAAAGACACGGACACAAACACTTCCGATTGGGTCCATTAATTATTATTGTTGGTTTGTCCTTTGGATAAGGAGAGCTCAGTGAATGTGGGATTTTTCATACATTTGACCAAAACAAAGCCCAAGAAACCTCTTCTCAGCAGAAAACTATTGATCAATTACTTACATTATGCATTGTCCTGTCTTATTGTGGAGTGATGTTAGTATTGTCCTCTTGAGTTTGCACAACAAACTCAGATTCAATCGCTGTGAACGTCTGTGATTATTACAATTGACCTGAGATCCTGTAAACTGTGTGATCAGTGCTGTTACCTGACGGTCCAGGACTGCCCCGTGACCCTGGGCTTCCCGACGGGCCCCTCGTCCCTGCGTCCCCTCGAGGCCCCGCAGGACCCTGAGGCCCTCGAGAGCCGTGCTTCCCTGAGAGAGACACAGAGTCAGCACAAACACCTTAACATGACGAAGATGATGAAGAACCAGGAGGAAGTGTTACCGTCTCTGCCAGGGAGCCCATCACTGCCCTTCTCCCCCTGAGGACCTGAAAGAGAACAGGAAACTCACGTCACTGCTGCAAATTCAACCACAATCTATGAAATGGACACATGGAACAGTTTTCCTGAAAATGAATGCATTTACAAAGCATTAGAGAAAATCAAATTCTCCACTGAATCCAATTGATTCTGATTGATAAAGACCCATGTAAACCTGTGCGATGTGAAAAACCAGTCTGTTTGATGAACTGGTGCGCGCTGATTCTACTGATGGGTTTAGGCGAGTTTGAGTTATAAGACAAACTTACAAGACTCTTTTGAAAGTGTTCTTTGGTCTGAAGCTTTGAGCAACTTTTCTGCATGAGACAAGTCCAAGACTGTTTTGAAATCCACTGAATTGAATGCGAGAAAAGCTTCTTTGCAGACAATGTTTAAATCCTGGCCAAAGCTGATGTCTGCAACTTCAAATGCATTAAGTTTTTATAATAATTCCTATTTTTACCAAAGAACCATGTGGTATCACAAGAATATATCATTATATTTTATACTATGCCTCTTCTAGGCTTAACCACTACAGATTTGGAACACAGTTGGGCCAATGGAAAAGGGCCCTTGTCTGTATATCAAGGATTTTAAATTGATTCTGTCCAAACAGGAAGCAGTGGGGGTATGAATAGTGTCTAATTAGGCACTTCGGGTTGCCTTGTGTATGCACTGTGCGTCACAAATAAACTTGCCTTCCCACATATTATGCAACGTCAACTTGCTTCCAATCATGTTGCAACAACTGAAAAACGTTCCCTTTTTTCTTCCACTACACTCATACCATACATCTTGGAAAGAGCAGCAGAGATCTGTTCTGCCTTTAATCAAGAGAGTAATCGCCACATGATCTCTGACAAATTAAACAAAATTACATAAAACGTGCGTGTTGATAATAACCACAGGTGTCAGAAATTCTGCTCCCTTGTTTGTTGAGCTTCTGTTCACCAATGTACATGATTTCTAATGAAGGAGACGCTAGGACCGTTTTAGTGACGTTGTATATGTTTGTTTACCTGCTGGACCTCGCTCTCCAGGCGCTCCCTTTGCCGGTGTCTCCCCCGTCAGGGATGTAGCCCCTTTGGCCTGCAGGGGGCGTTGTGTTGTCAGCTGCTGGATCTGAAACGACACGCCACGTTGAAGTTCTAAACACGAACTGTACTCCAAGCATCAAGTCTTTCTTCATACGAACAAAAGTATCACCTTGACCTGGCTCATATCTTCTTCTGCTATGCACATAAGAATCAGAAGTAAACCAGACTTCTGCTATACACGGGTTTCTCAAGTATGGAGGGGCACCATCTTGTGTGTCAGACATAGACCATATATAGATGGACAATGCTAACCTCCTAGCTTAAAGAGCGACTAAACACCTGTGCCCAGCCTGACTCCGCCCACATGAAGATTTGAAAATTTTCTCTAAAAAGGGCGTTGCCTGGAGGATCAAGGGACAAGAAGGGGGGCTTAGAGTCGGGCGTGGTCTGGGCTGTGATTGACAGCTCACTTGTCATACAAAAAAAACCAGACAGTAGTCATTGCTGCTTAAAGCAATAGTTTACAGACCAGAAAGTCTCATTCCACCCTTTTTTACACACTAAGATAATTGTAAAGCTACACACCTGAACCTAATCACACTCAATAATCTCAGAATGACTCATGTAATTTAATTTTAATCCACTAGATGGCGCCAGAATACTCCAAACTGCAGCTGGGGCGTTTGTGAGAGTTGAATGGGTTCATATCAGTAGCTGCGTTTCCATTGAGCATCAAATTTCGAAATTTGAATTTGCGCATCATAAAATGTCTAATGGAAACGCGCAAATTTCGAATAAACCACAGTTTTTCGATAAAAAGTGAATGCGCTTAAAATAGGTGGTTTTTTGGACGTATCGAAATTAAGTTTTTCGCAAAACGGCAATGGAAACACTTATTTCGATATAGCGGAGGAAGCCGAGCTGCTTTATTCAGTGAGTTTTGGCTGCGCTTCGTGTGGAGACTTGGGAGATACGTGGAAGAGGCATGGGGGAGAGACGGGGGGGAGACGGGGAAGAGACGGGGAAGAGACGGGGGAGAGACGGGGGAGACAGGCAAGACCCGTGTCTATGGTTCTGTGCGCGTGTCCGCGCTCGGTACATGACCACGGCGTTCGCGGAGCTGTCAAAGCAGCCACAGTTTCTCCCGGGGTCAGAGAGGATGAGAGCCGCAGCAGAAGTCAAGACATTAATATATCTCACATAAATCAAAGTGTTGTTTACTTCTGTTGCCATGTTGACGTACTAGAAACTAGTGAATATACGCGCGACCATAGTGTATACTTATTCGAATATGTCTTAATGGAAACGGCCGCTTTTGCGAATTACAGGTTTTTTGAATTTTGAAATGTATCAAAAAAGTTTTTGCGCATTATTCAATGGAAACGCAGCTACTGGCTCTGACAGACTGACGTCACACAAAACAACTGATGTCATAGAGAACTTCAGAGTCAATGGAGAGGCCAGAACCAAATTCAAATGTAGTACCACCAAAAAGGTTGAGAGGGCGCCACACAGACGTTTTTTGGCTCATAAGTGATATTTTATCTAATTTGAACTAAAATGTCAAAAAAATGACCAGGATATGTAGACAGCACTACAATAAACATATTTATCCAGTTTATGAGTTAAAAAAAGTTGATTTGGTGTTTAGTCGCTCTTTAATGAAAACAGTCCCAGCGTCTTGTCCGTAACATGTCTATCCAACTGTCTGGTGCACACTGAGGTAGTCTTGCACAGTTTTTCCAATGTGGTTTTACTGCAAATGGCAAAGAAATTCTTGAATCTTGAAGCCAAATAGGGAAGTGCTCATGGACGACGTTTAGCTCTAACATGGTCTGGCTCCTTAGATTGAAAAGTAAACTCCTCTAGCTCAGTAGCCGTTTGCGTCACACTCAACCTTTTGAGCTTTAAAAATCCATAGGTAAGCATTCTCCCTTTGATCTTTGTGTTTATTTGTGATATTGCCTTTGTCAGGAGCCTATCACCAAATTCAAATTTGGCTCTAGTGAGCGAGTCCCAGGAGCAGGGTCAGATCAGCAACACTAGGGAAAAACACTAAGGGTGAAGTTGGTCCTCAGTCGGTCCACTCCTAATATACGATCGATGGTGACAGTCATACTTAAAGAGCAACTTAACACCTTTGCCTAGCCTTAACTCCGCCCACATTAGCTCGCAGCTATGCGGTAAGCCAGCCAACGCACACAAAGCATGAAAACAATAGTTATGTTTAGTGACGCAGCCGACCAGCGGCGAAATTAAAAGCTACGAGCGGAGCTTACCAGCGACGCAGTCAAGTTGGGCACCCCCAGTTGCTGGCCTTAAGCCTCAGCCGCCGGCTTGACGCCCCGACACGACCCCTAGCAACATCCCAACTAGCCTGCCTCGCTCCGAGCCCCATACAGCGGATATGACGTTGGATAGAGGAGAGGCAAGGTAGCGCAATTGACAGGCTTTTATACTGCGCCCCCTACTTTCAATAGGGAGCTCACGCCAGCTCACTACACAAGTAAAGTGCAGGAGGCTGACGCACCCTCCACACCTGCACTGTACAGGAGCTGCGGTGGGATGGCAGACATCCCCATCCTACATGGCTAATAAAAAGTAACGATTAGCTAAATGCCTGATTCTAAGATTCTATCCCTGATTCTAAGGAAAACCACAAAAACTGTACCTGTGGGGCAACACGGCGCAACACGGGGTTCACGACACCGGACCAGGAAGTGTGCCGGCCAAGACCGAAGGAGACAGGCCAATGGCTTTTAAAGCCTGCACATTACCGCCCCCTGGTGGCCCCGTACTGCCACATATAGCACATGTCACACTTTTTTAATCATACACTCTCAGGAAGCCATGGAATTGCTTGGCTCCAACACTGAGGAAACACAATATTTGCAATAAAACTGGTTGTGTTTATGTTTTCATATCTTTACCTGATGATCTGATGTGTTTCTCCGGTACCAGAAGGGGAGACTCGCTCAGAACTTAATGAATAATTAAATTTGGTATTAATTAAATTAATAATCCCATTAGAGTTAGTGCAGTTTACCCACATGGAGCTCTCCAAGGAGCCCGCACATAAGTCACCAGGAGCCACAGAGGCCCAAGATGCGCGCACACACGAGCCCATAGATCCAGATATTAAATTGATAAGTGACTATAAGAATTAGATTTATTTTAAATGCTTACCGGTACTATACAACAGGATTGCGTCTGCAGTAAAGGGTGCCTGCCCGCGGCTCTAAGGAAAACTACATTTTAATAAATACTCCAGAACATAAAAAGTTAGAAAGACACATAAACACATAACACACCTCACATAAAAACACAAAACAACACATGTAAGTCACAACAATAAGCCGCACCTTCTCAGAGCAAACAGCTGTACCAGTGTCTCCACAGATCGACCTGTTACCAGCCTGGCACTGAATTGACATTTTGTCAGCTTAGACAAGACAATTCGGCTTTCAGTGAGCCTACAAATAAAACTGTACATCAAACATCGCATGGCGCCTGGAAAGTACATTATCCCGCTGACACAAACAAAGTACTTGCACTGTCCCATCGTGAGCTTTTCAATAAAATCCTCAGACTGTCATTTGTATCCAGGATGTGCGGATTGTCTGCTTTTTGTATTTGGTCATAAATGTTGCCGTGTATAATGACTGTACATATGCTTTATAAAGTGTCTTGTTCAACCTGCCTGTACAGGCACCAAACGGGCGCACCCATGTCGCCTGAACGTACAACTACGAACATTGCCTGAGAATGTCCTCATCATCAGACAGATCATCACAAATAAAAAAATGGCCCAATAGTTATATGTGAACATACTCTAGTTCTACACCACAGCAATTTAAATTGGGGAATGTTTACATGTACATCATCTTTAGTTCTACATACATTACCACTTTTCTTGCATGATACCTTACATCATACGCTAACTCCATACTTAGAGCAGAATTGAGAAGGGCCAGGTGTAGACCTGCCACTACTCAGGGCTGAATACCAGCAAGGTCATCCGCATACAACAGATGAGTCACCTGATTGGCCCAATCATACAGCCGTTTTACATGCACTTAACTCAGGACGATCATTCATAGACAGGAAATATAACAAGAGAGATAATTCCTCCCTGCCGACACCATTACTAACATAGAATGGAGTCCGACATGGATCTACCCCCATCTCACCTGCAGTACCTGATGGGCAATACCAGTATACTAAACTCTCACAATATAAACACGCAGGCACCCCTCTCCTCGTTCAGAGCTTTTGAGAATTTGTCCGTGATATTACACACCGATCAAATGCGTTAGATGCATCGATAAAACACAGAAAGAACAGATGATGTTTGACTTTTATATTTTCTTATTATTTACCGTCTTGAGGCAAATAAGCATAAATCTGTACCATGTTTAGATTAAAGCCAATCTGGTTTCTGTGGAGCTGATAGAATCTGGTAATCGAGATAACAGTATGTTTTCTCCAAGACTTTAACAATATGCTATGCCAGAGCGATGTCTATAATGTCCAAACTACCCAGTCTACCACTTTATAATACCTTTAATACTGGGACACGCGTGACAGAGAGAAGGGAGTCCTGGGAGAATTCCATGTGTCAAAACCCGAGAGAAAGCAAATCCCGCAGAGGACTAAGTCTCTTTGCTGGCATGTAATCAGTGCTCACAGAAATGATTATCAGTACCACAGACGAGTAGCCGTAACGTTTTGAATTGCTTGAGCACCTCTTGGCACTTAGGGTACATATTCACTTTGGTCAATTGTGCCCAGCAGTAAACATAGCAAAGTGACACAATGGATCAGATTTATTATAATGTCCGTCTCCAGCATCCATCGATGTTTTTTCTGACCAGAGATTCCATCTACAGGGCATGTAGAAGATGTTTTTACTCTACTGTTGAGATTTCTCACTCTTCTTTCCAAAAATCCATAATATTGCTGGATTAAGTTTACTGGCCAATGAATCTGACCTCAGACTTTTTGCATTTCTTGAGATAAATCGAAGGCATATTTGTTATCTGGGCATTGTAACTTTTTAAACTCAAAAATAGTGCATGTCATCTCGGTACTCCCTGCTACATTCCAGTCTCTTGGAGCTTCCCTGCTTCCTCGGATTACCCGCTACAACATATTCCAGCCTGGTCGCTTTTTTGTGAGTATGTT